AGGTTATTAATAAAAAATAATAAATGTCAAAAATCTAAAAAAATGAAAAAAGAAAACTACCCTATTCACCTTCTCCCCCATTAGGTAATGGCAAATCTGTCTTTTCAGTTTCTCAGACCAAATGCCTTGGTGTCATCTCTTCCACTGCCCACATCCTATCAATCACATTCTGCTTGTAAAATAAAGGCGGAATCTCATCACTTTTCTGCATCCACTTCCACCACCCTGGTCCAAGCTCTCATCACCTCCCACCTCGGGGTATTGCAGTAGCCATAGAACATAGCCGCTAGAGTCGTCTTTCCAAAGGATGAGTTAGAGGGTGTCATTCCTCCCTTTAGCCCGCACAATGGCTCTCCATTCCACTTGGAGTAAAAGCCAGTCTTCTCCAGGGCCTGCAGAGCCCTCCACCACCCGGCCCCTCTTACCTGCCACTTCTCTCTCTCCCTCCCCGACGCTGCACTAGCAATGTCAGCTCCGTCTCTGTTGCTTTAACACTTTAATCAGGTCTTTCAGCTGTCTTATCTCTCTGCCTGGGACATGCTTTCGTGATACTGGCACAGCTTGCTTGCTCCTTCACTTCTTCCAAATCCTACTAGCTCAAACGCGACCTTCTAAATAAGACAGACTTACGCTCATCATGCTGTTCAGAATTAGGGCCTAACCACCTTCCACCATGCCACTCCTCGTGCCCTTGAGCTGCTTTTATTTTTTTCTCACAGTTCTTATCACATTTTTCATGTTATATAATTCATTATATTTGGCAATTCTCCTCAGTGTACTCTTCCTGAGGGCAAGGTTTTTTGTCTATTTTGCTCACTGCTGAGTCACCGGTGCCTAAATAAAACTCTACAGGGCACAGAGAAGATATATACCTAAATAGGTGTGAAGATACATATTAAGTATGGTTAACTATTTAAACATACATAATATAAACAAATGAATTCTATGCAAAACTATATTAGTCAATGTAAGTTAACTAAATTTCATTACATTCATATTCTTTAAATGTAGTAGGTTACATATGATACACAAACTAGGTAACAGATTGGGAATGTTCGATTAACAGCAACACCCAAATTCCACCTGTGGATCATGGGAGTTCCCATCGCTAATGTTGGTAGCTTCTGAAAATACGCACATCTTATAAGTTGTCTGCACGTACTCTGTCTTGAGTGAATTCATTAATGGGATTTGCTATTGTCACCCAATCCTCCACGGTCCCCTTTTAACTTCCTCACTCCTTTTTCAAGAAAGTTTGTTTCGTTTTTAGTAAATCCGGACTGACAAACTTAAAATAACTACAAGTCAATGTAGAGGCAATTTTACATTACGCAATTACACGCCGTTATTCTGGAGGTTAGATTTCCCCTACACTTCAGAATCCAAACCCACGTTGCCCCGCAAACTCTCACAAAGCCAGGCCCTTTATTCCTCCCCTCCTTGTGTCTTAGTCTCCTTTACTGCTGAATAGCAGTTTCACCACTGCAGTTACTTTGTTTCCATCTGTAGCACAGGAGAAGCAATGAGGCTGTTAGAGGCAAGCATACCGAACAAGAAGGCAACTTGCAGCCAGACTCTGCCAGACTTGGAGGGAGGCCACAGACAAGCCCCAGACAAAAGGCACAAAACTTTACTATAGTTGATGCCCAGAATCATGAGATCAGATTATATATCCACTCACCTCTTCTCAAAAAAGGTGCATACATGTGTAACACAGTTGCAGAAAGCTGACACCAGAAATTACAAAAAGAATATAAATCACGTAAATCTTTGGCTGTGCTAGATCAATGCAGCATTTTTGTATATATGCAGACATTTTTTGTTTTTGCTTTTCTAGTATGTACATTTCTTACCAAAGAAGGAAATTATTTACATCACAATATCTGATAATACACACTTAACCATGTGAAGTTAACTTCATATGAATACAACTTTAATATTTATTAGTCAACAAATTTCCTAGAGTTCCTTCTATGCGGGCTTATATGTATGCATACATTTTTTGCCTAACAGAATTTTACTGATATTTAATAATACACTGCTTCTTAGCAAAGGTAGTAAAGTAAAATGGGTCTAAACTCACTTTATTACTATGTGGTTTGCCATTTTATAAATTACATATCTAGTAATTTATAACAGAAATTACCATCTACCCGATACCTAATTTTAAGATCTAATGTCACTCCTCATGCACACACAAATGTGCATACCCAAACCCATGGGCACACACACACACACACACCCACCCAAATCCATGCACGCACACACACACACACATATATACAGCTGATCTTTGAACAACACAGGTTTAAGCTGCACAGGTCCACTTAAACACAGAATTTTCTTCAATAAATACGTACTACAGTACATGATCCTTAGTTGGTTGAATCTTCTGATGCAGAACTGCAGATACAAGGGGTCGACTAAAGTTATACACTGATTTTCGACTGGGGGTGGGGTGCGGTAGGAGAGGGTATCAGCACCCCAAACCCCTCATTGTTCAAGGGTCTACTGTACATACATATATACATGTACAAAAACATTTATACAAAATTGGCGTTCATAGTAAGAAACTACGGTATAGCACAGGGAACTCTAAGGGCCTATATGGGAAAAGAATCTAAAAAAAAAAAGTGGATATATGCGTAAACATAACTGATTCACTTTGCTGTACACCTGAAACTAATACATTGTAAACCAACTATACTCCAATTCAAAAAAAAGGATTTCAATAATTTGATTGTATTGTACATAACTCTTTTAGCAACTCACTTTTTGGTCTTACTGATTACAAAGCAGGAAATATGGGGCTTTTAAGGAAGGATTGTAGGAAGTTCATAATAGATAATTAGGCCTTTTATTTCAAGATACACTAGTTCAAAGGCAAGGGGAGAACAGTATGAACTGGCTTAGTATATAAACCAAAGTTTCTAGGTAATAGGCTGTTGATTAGAGCATGATGTAATGAGGCTAATACAGCAGCCTGGGTTCATAAGCAGGGCTATTAACTATACAGAACGGGGAGGACCCTACCCATCGTCTCATAATGAATGCTGTTATTAAGGGGTGGAATGAAGTTAGCATTTGAAAACTAAGTGACAGGTATCGCGCTAAGAGCTATTACAGTGAAAGCATGCCAGCAGCTGCTCCTTTGATAAATTCTAGTTCCAAATTTTCTAAGTAAAGCTACAGAGGGAAAATTCTCCCTCAGGAGCAGTAACGCCATTTGTCACCTAGTTCTACCACTGGATTCCTGGTTGAGGCCAATGGAGAAGTAAACATTAGAAAGATAAGTAAACATTAATATGCTGTGTATCCATACTTGGGTTGAAGCAGCAATTACTGGCCTTAAGGGAGTCACCTCCTGTCAGAGTAAGTGGATGATCCTCAAACCAGACTAACTCTCCCTGCAAATACTTTGCACCATTTGGATTACACTGATAATGGCCAAAACTATGGTTTACCCTTGTTTATGACCTTACAACGCTGGCAACACAAACATACCGATTTTTTTTGTCACCCAGATCTCATTAAATTGATTCTAAACCAATGGTTCTTTATGGGAGAAAAAACTCAAATCAGTTCAGTGGGCACTGACTTTTTTCTTAGAATCACTCTTTTATGTTCCTATCTAAACTCATACTAATGGGATGGAGGTCACTGGGCTTTGAACACTCGGTTTCTAAATTTAATTTCTCCCAGTGGAAATGCCTAATTAAAATTCTAAGACCACAGGTTCTCCTTTGACTATGAGGACAATATTACAATATGACCGATCCAGCCACCCCCCCCGCCCCCGGATTTAGGAGGATCCACTAATGACAACTGATTGGTTGTGATTAATACTGTGATCTGTGACCAGGAGTAGCTTGAAATTAACTGGTCCACTTGGTAATCAAACCACTTGACTTGACCAACATGTTGCCATAACCAGCTGAGGTTTAAATAAGTACATGTAAGATGTGTAAGAGCATCTCATAACTTGCATACCATATCAAATAAATGTTCTCTTCAATTAGGAAAACTGGGAACTTATATGCTTTATTATAACACATGTAATCTAAAGCAATGGTTCCTGATTTAGCTGCACAGAAGAATCACCTCAGACCTACTAAATCATAATCTACAAGAGGCGTTATGTTTTTGTTTGGTTTTAAAGCTTCCTTAAGAAATTCCGGTGTACTTCTAGGTTTTAAAACACCAAATCACTTGTCACTCCTCTTCTGGAACAGCTTTTTAAAGCTACTGCAACCTGTCACTCCTTTGAGAATGGATTGCATTATTTTCTAATCAGCTCAAGTCAGGTGGATTAGATGCCTTACTACAAATTTGGATAATACTAATTTCGGTCAGAAGATAGTAACTTTGCTTTTCTTAGGAGTACTGCAAAACACCTCTGCAGCCAAACCTAAGAGGGGGAATTTTTTTTAAAGTGATACTATACACATAGTACTGTAACATCTTACGGAAAAATCTGAACGAACTTTTTGGCCAACCCAGTATGTATAGACTTTCTTACTTTAAGGGCATTCCCCTCCCATCCCACCCCCTTCATTCCGATGTAGAAGTTGCAACAGGCTTTTGACAGAGTCTATTTCATAGTTACATACACTGGTTGCCTATTGCTAGAGCTACACACTGAAACAAAATGCAGATTTCATCCTTCTCCTCACTTGATTCCATGCCCTTTAGGTAAGCTTTGTCTCTTTCTGCTTACAACTGCATTCCATTAAAAAAAAAAATCAGTCTAGTGGTTATTTTTTTTAATAGAGGATAGCATCATGTAGGAAATAAAAGATCAATTCTATATTGTTATCTGACATCAGTTCTATAAACTTACTATAAACAAAATAATTCACATATACCACATACAGTGATATGCACAGCTAATATTGCCAATTTTTCTCTTGTGCAGGTTCTACACAAGTTTCACAGTATCAAATTCTCCAAAGAACACTTTCTACAAAAAAATCAACACAAACTTTCACCGTAATACTCACCAAGAAAATCACCTTTCAGATGCAAATTCAGTTCATAAAGTTTTGCCCATCGTCTGCCAAAACAACTGGGGACACATTAACACTCATTAGAGAAGCACCGGTTTTGGAATCACACAGACCTGTGCCCAAATTCCTGTACCCCATTATCTCCAAGTGGAATCATGAATTTTTATATCACTAGTCTGAGTTTTTTCCATGGGATGTTGTGAGTCAAGAGGGCTTTAAAATCAGCATTTAATACTATCTGGAACAACCCAGCAGCTGGTCTACACTTCCCACTTTTTACCTAGTTAAAAACCAAACATCAAGTGATTTCCATTTACAAAAGTAAAAAAAATATAATCCTTATTCCATGAATACTGTCATACTCCTGATAATGCAGTACAAATTTTAACTTATGAAGTTCAATTTTTTTAAGACTTTCTTCCAAATCACTTCGTGATCGTTAAGCACATTCATCTGGGATTTACTGAGTGCCTACACCCACCACATGCCAGACATTGTGCTGAGGCATTTATTCAAGAATCACAACTGCAGAAAGAATTTTAAGACTTAGAAGTTATTTTTCCCACACTGCAAAAATTCCTAAAGTTTCGTGTATTATTTGAACTGTACTTTACCTGAATACTGAACTTCAACAATTTCATTGTGACTAAAATGTTCCTAAGATTACTTTGAGCTCCTCACACACAGTTATCTTGGCATGGCTTACTGGAGGTTCACCTTAGACCCTAATACTAAGGATCAAATCACTTAAATGACCCATTTACAAATTTGCTATTTCTAAAATTATTAAATGGGCTTTCAAGTTTTTCTAGCTATTCATGTTTCCCTAAGTTAGCTTCATGACCAATCTCTGTATCATTACTTGTTAAATTCAGTCATTCTTAGGTCTTCTCTTACTTCTGGCTAAATAAATGATGTGGTATAGAAAAGGCATGCAGTACGTAAAATGTTTCTTAAAACCCAAGATTTGAATTTAAATAAAGCATCTATCCATGTTACCCATTAAAGTATGTAAGACATTCACTAAGACTCCAGAATAGCGGCCTTTACCTTCCCTGTATCCCTTCCTACTAAAAACTGTGATCAGCAAGTAGTATAAAGGCAATAAAAATGTCTTAAGTTCCATATTGAGATGCTTCAAGTTCCATATTGAGATGCTTTGTGTATTATCTTTAACTTTAGCTTGCCATAAGTTCTTTTTCATGTGAATGAGATACAAACTAAATGATAAATTTATAAACAGAAAATGATGCCCATCTGCAATATGGAAGATAAGCTAGGAGCCAGACATACGATCAAACCTAGGTCCAGCTCCTGGGCTCTGCCATTTCCTAGCAGCAACCTTGGGCAACGCTGGTATAATTAACAGTTCTCATCTCACAGAGCCCATGTGATGACTAAATGAAACACATATAAAAAGCTCTCAGAAATAGTGTCTGGCACATGATAATACGTACGTATGTTGTTACTGTTTAACATTTCTATTGTTTCTGCTTTTGGGAATATAAATGTTATTTTGCTAACCTGAAATGTTTTTAACATTCTTATCAACAGTACAAAATACTTATTGACTGACTATATGCACCATATAGAATACACGATCTACAATTTTGATAGGTGACAGCTTTCCTCCCCAGACTGAAACAATCTAATAGTATTCATCAGATACCATGTGAAAAACAAGGCTATAAAAACTGAGTCTTAAGTTACAGTAGGCAGGCAAAGATATAACCCTCTAATACTTATTCAAAATGAGTATTTAAAACTGTAAACAAACAAAAAAACCCCCAGCATTATCTGGATTTAACCCACTACAGTTATTTTCCAAAATTAGGAATTAAATATTTAGAAGCCTGAGATCATGCCAACTAGTCTCCTAGGGATGGAGGCATAATTGTAAGATCACTTAGTTGCCACCTAAGCCTTTCTTGCTACCCAACATACACACTGAGGGATGGAACATCAACAGTGCTTCACTATGACAAGTTCTTTGTCAAGAAAGTGTACTAGCATCTTGGAGTTTGGGGGTGGTACATGTCTATATTTACAGTGCTACACACGTGATTCTAACACATCCTTTAGCAAGACATGCACCCCTTCCCCATCCCCTTTTAAAACTCATTGACATAAAGAACCTTGCAATCACAACCACAGTTTATTTTGTGAGGCTGTGTGTTCCCTAACTGCAATGAATTTTCAAACTTTAAATAATATAACTATATAACAATTCAAAATAAACACTGTCCTGGATTCAAAAGTGATAGCAGAGAATTACAATTTAACAAGTGAACAAAGAGTACATCATTTTTGCAGTTGGAAAACTATGCATCCATCCTCCTTAAAATTCTTCAAGCAAATCACCAAAATCTATTCACATCAACAGGATTAAATGAATGGTTAGGATGCATTATTCTTTTGAGATTAAGACATTAAAAAATGAAGAAAAACGGCATGATCTCTTGCTGAAAAGAAAGCAAGGTCAAAATGTATCACTACGAGCTTTAACGAGCTAAAATAAAATGCACTAAATGCGCTAAAACATATAAAACATGTTAGGTGATCCAATTTTCTTTTTCAATGCAGCATCATTCTGCGACCACTCGACTCAACTGCAATTGACTGAAATGCAACTGAATGCAAATGGTTGCCTTCGCCCACCATACAACTGCAATTCAGAAATGTTTTAATATATTTACAAGCATTTAGAAGCATAAATAGCAAACCTGTTCTCCAAAACTAACAAGTATGTCTCTGAATTCTAAATGTGATTTGTACATCCACACTTGAGACAATGACATAAATTTAACTTGACTGATTTTTAATAGTTCAAACCAGCACTTACATTTTTGTTTTAATGTCTCATTTAGATTTCAAATGGAAGTTTTTACATCTTTCATATTTATTTACTTGACAATCTGAGTGTTCTATTTCCCAAAGTGTTATATATATACCAATTAAATGATATATACAACACTTTGGGAAACAGAACACTCAGATTGTCAAGTTAATAAAAAAATTATGAAACGTGAAAGAACCAGTATTTTCCTGTAGGTAAACACCCTGTCACTAAAGAAATTCCAATTGTGTAAAATCAGAAAGGGAAACCCTTCGGCTTTCCTTGTTACACCTGACCTACTATCACTCAAGTATGGTGAAAGTATCCTGAGAATAATGTTCATGATAGTTTTCATTTGTATCTTAATTGCATCACGTAAGAGTGGAAAACAGAGAGATTAAGAGCATAAGACTTATAATTCTACAGGACAGATGGAGACAAAATTAAATGTAGGAAGAGCATATTTGCAAGTTAAAGGAAAATTATAACCCAAGACGCATGGGGAAAAATATTTATGTGGAGTTTTTAATCCATATTAGAATTCAGTTGTAACTTGACCATAAATTTAAAACAGATACCATCTTCTGAGACATACATTCTAATAAATGTATCAACAGTATCATAGTCAGTTGGTTACTTGAACTTATTAGTAACATGTCATTTTTCTATCAACAAAAATCTATAGTGGTTTGCCCCAATTACATATCTGAAACACTGTCTTATGAAAACAAAATTAAATAAAACTGAAGATAAAAATACTCTGAAGTTAAAATAAAGCAAACTATAATCCTCGGCAGATCAATCAGGTAAAAAATATTGGTGAAAGTTGGAAGCACAGGATAACTGACATGAATCTTCAGCACAAAGCACATCTTTTGAAAACATGAAACGATGACTCTTTGGAGGACAACAGCTAAGAATGATCCAAGAATCATCAGGTTTGAAAAATATTGCTTAATCACTTTCCAAAACGCAGCTGCAAGAACTAAAGATCTTATTAAAAAATATTAAGGTAATCGTATTTATTGCATCTTTAGAATGCATTTTGAAACAGATAATTAACAGTGCATCCCAGCTTCACCAAAATATATATTTAAGAGAGGGTGAACCTAAGATATTTAGAAACAAAGTGTAGACTGTATGTGCTTTTCAGAGGGGCTGAATTAAATACAACCAGCTGCCAACTTTGTGCTCTGACACACCTGAATTAGTGAGTATGTGTATACTAAATTCATTTATTTTTGTCTACAATAAAATGAAATAAAAACACTGCCCTATACAATCCACTATTAGCAGTGAGTACAACAGCAAAAAATTATTGTACAATTTATACATACTAAAATATTTTCTTTCTCTAGAGATAATGCAGAACAAAACCTCATCATTGTAAGAATTTGCGACATCTCAAATTACAGTAGGGAAAAATCAAACCAGGGTGTATACTGAGCCCAAAACAAAGGTTCCTGGTCATTAGGCTGTTAGATTAGTAAGTGCAAGTGGTAGAATAAAGCATGCTCAAATTTTATGCTTGGGTCTCTGTAAATTTATCAAACCTTTAAATTAAACAAGACGAGCTAAAGAAATGCCTTAAGCAGAGCGAGATAATTGGGAATTGTGTCGTTTCTTTTACCATTTTTGTTACCCAACTTATACAATGCCCAAAGTGCTAAGCAACACTACAAAAACACATTTACATGAACACTGAAGACCTGGGGAAATGAAATCCAACAATTTTATTTTAATGAGCTGTATTTTCTAAATTTTGTTTTATTTTTTCCTGTTTTCATACAGTATTGAAAACAAAACGCGGCACATTCACATTTTCCCGAGGAACTGTAAAGATGATCTCTACAGGGATAAACGTTGTAAAGCCTGAAGCTCAATCAACTGATGTTGAAAACTCTCAAAGGGAGTAAAGGCTTGATCTGAATGGTCTAAAACATGTACTGTAATTTAATAGAAGAGATGGTCGTCTTAATATTTAATGATTTAAAAGAACTTCCCAGTCCATGCGAAGAGTACAGTCCAATAATAAATCAAGTTTCTGAATGCATTTTATGCTACATATGTGTATACTTTGCGATCCTCAGGTGTTCGTGCCAAATATTCTCTCTCAATGAGTCCTTCGATACGTTTTTTAATAACAACTGGACTTGGTAAGAATCGAGCCTTCAACTGCTGAGTTACCTAAAAGAGAAGGTTAAATAAAAAACACTAATTCCTACCAGAAAATTAAAAAACAAAAACAAAAAACATTTCTATATAAACACACAAAAATTCTTATTTTTGAGTAGAACTGATATGTCATTTTAAGACTCAGCTCAAACTTTACTAATTTGATTATGAACATTAAAAATACAGAAAATTAAAAAGGATTCTATTTGAAAATGTAATGTATACCTCCTCACATCAGAATGTGAATGCTAAAGTGGATTAATAGACGAATTAGTTGAAATATACTAGTATGAATTTATACCACCGTATAGTTTAACCCATTTTGAAGCTATAATCTAATGACTTCTGGGTTACTCTCCCAATTCACAGAATTTGGGTAGCATAATGTGTTTAAAAGCACAAACTCGGGACTCAGACTTGCCTGGATTCAAATCCCAGCTCTACGACTTACTAGCTCTGGGCCCTTGGGAAAGTTACTTAACCTCATGAAGTTGTTGTGTATATTAAATGAGTTAACAGATGTGATGCTTTAGAATAATGCCCAGTCCATAGTTAAGTGCTACTGTTGGTATTCTTTTCTCCAACAGCTGTCGGGATTCTAGGTATTGTGACATCGGTAATAATACAACAGGAACTACAGCAGTAGCCGAAATCTGACTATGCACTATGTATCAGTCAGTTTTGTTTATATTTATTTATTTAATGCTCTTAACCCTGCAAAGTAGGTTGTCTCGTTTTACAAATGAGGAAAATAAGCCAGAAAGGAAAAATGATATGAACAAGTAGTAAATAGAGCCAGAAGAGATGAGAATCTACATCCTCCTGCCCCTGAAGCCCATGCTTTTCTCACTAATCCAGTTAGTGATCTTGCAGATCACTCATCTAGCCATAAGCCAGCTTCTCTTTTACTAGTGTTGGATCAGTTCATTTCGAAGGCTACAATGGATTATTAACTCTTCAAAGTCGGAAACGTCAGCACTTCACTCCCCAACTAAAATCCATCACTCTTCTAATATTATCACTCCAGTATCAACAAATTTGTTCTCAACCCACTTGAGACCCTGAATCAATCCTCTGGCCCTTTCTTCTAAGCTATTAATAACTTCTTTGTCTGACCTCACCTCTTTCCTTCATAAAAGATCACCTGAGCTGCACCCCCAACAGTACCTTCAACTCCCTGACTCCTTTGGTTCTGTTCCATAAGCACCCATTCTACATTTACTACATCACCCAAAATCCACTACTCGGTTCTTTATTGAGTAAAGTTGTCGTTTTTACACCTTTTGTGTAGACCTGGGGTCCACAGGCAAATACAGCCCGCTGCCTGTTGTAATCCCTCCTGGAACACAGCACACTCACTTGTTATCTACGGGTGCTTTCATGCTGCAACTGGCCATTTAAAAAAAGGTTGCCAATCTCTGGTTTAGGCTGATAACACAAATTTACAGCATTCAAGGTCAGCAAGTTCTCAAGCACCATAACCTCACACCCTGTTTTACATGAGAAAAGAGGCCATTTCAGTTTGAAATTCCTCAAACTCCCACAACCTTACATTTATCCATTTATCCATTTGTCCATTTATCCATTTGTCCACGGCTTGTTTCCATGCTTCATTCCAACCACCCCTGCACCCAGCCCTGGGTTCTCAGGAAAGGTATTTGGTAGCATCCCTGTTAACACATCTACCACCTACCTGTGTTCTCTATACAACCCTCTCGCTTTTCTTTTTCTAGACTTGAGTACATCAAGTAACCCCTCATCTCATTTTTCTTCCCTTTTGTTTTTAAGCATCTCTTCTTATCCTTAGAATATAAATATAACTCAATGTCTTCCCATCTAGAAAAACAGTACCCAGAAGCCCTCAACTCAACACTTAATCCTCTAGTATTGCTCTCTGTGTCCTTCCCACGAGCCAACACCTCAAAGGAGAAACCACTCACTTGGTGGTTTCACCTCCATTTACTTCTCAAGGAACTGCCATCAAATGTCTATTCTTACCAGTCCAATGAAAACGGGAAAAACTAACCAGTCACCTAATTGCCAACATGTCTTAAAGGTTTACTTGTTTTGGTTTTTTAATGATTTTTTAAATTACTGACTGACCACTCACCTATAATTCTCTTCCTCTGCCATGTGATACGAAGTCAACTTATAAAAAGTGGTATTAGCTGACCCGTGGAACACAGCAGCACACTGCCCCTCCCTTTTCAGTTAAAGAAACCAGCCTCTACCTGGCCAAGCAAGCAAGGGTCTCAGAGTCGTCCTCCACTCCTCCCTCTCATTTCCCACGATCAGTCAATAAATGCTGTCAATTTCACTTCCTATGTGTCTTCATTCAGCTCTCTATCTTCAACCAATACTTTATTCGGCCCTAATCACCTTGTTCCTCACTATTTCAATGGCTTCACAATGGTCTTCCCCTCCTTAGTTTCCTAACTTTTACTCAATAAATAAGCCATTAATTTTTAGAAGTATAGGTAGTTTGTTTTACATCAAAGTACTAAATAGCAGTGAAAAGCTTTTTCTTTATTCTTCATGTGACAATATTCTATTATTATCTTCTTTACAAACATATTAGTTCTTAAAGTGTGCACATATTTTGATGCATTGGCTATGTTTAACTATCAAGCAAGTACCATGCTTTTAATAATGTGTTATTTGACTATGGTTTTCTAATTTTAAGATTGTATTTTAAATTAGCTGAATACAGTACTTTCCTAAATTTAAATAATTAAAGTAACTTTGTCTTTTCTACATTAATCCAGTCCGGAAGTGTCCTCACCTCTGCTACTAACACATTGTGCTGCATCTTCTTCCTAGATTTCATTATCCGCACTATAGCAGCTTCTATCTCATGTTTTCTGTCGTCATCTACTTTCTGCCTCGTTTCTTTCCTTTCTGGGTCAGATTCACCTTGTTTGGCAGCAACTAAAAGAGAAATAAAGACATTTACCATGTGATTATGATGTAAATTTCAAAAGTAAGGAAAAATGTTTGTAAGCAAACTTAATATAGTTTACTATTGTCAAGAGAGAAATCAATGTCAACCTCTGAATATACACCACACATATACTTATTAATTAAACACTCAAAAAGTGCCTAATTCAACGTTTACTTTAATAAATATTTAAATAATTAACAAGCAGTGATATAAAAATTCTTCAATTCTAAATTATTCTTTTTAAATATTAGGAGTTTAATTTTACAGAGATAATAAAACCAATTTTATTTTTATAGAATTCAATGACTCCTTTCCTAGAAGAAAAACACTAGCTGGATATATTTAGCAGTAAAATTATCAGTAAATAGTTTTCATTGCTTGTGACTTCCAGAGGTTAACTAGTATTTTACCACCATGACTCCAAGTTAAACCTCACCAAAAGTACCTCAAACAGGAGAAATGTGAGGACTTTAAGAGGAGGAAAGAACATGTATTGCCAAGATTTAGTTAGCTAAATAAAAAATTTAAAGTACCACTAGAATGTCACTTAACTCCGTAACAATTCTTTTGTACCTCTCATCAATTATTCAACAATTTCTTAACATGTATCTTGGTAATTATTAAGTGTCATAATCTCAATATGACTAATGCAAACTATATTCCACTCTTTAGAAGTCTTACTGTTATTCCCTATAGTCTTCAAGGCAACTGCTAAAGAATTAAGTATAAAAGTCCCTTTCTCTTATAACTTTGCTCTAATTGAAGCAGCAGAGAAAGATTTTTTTTGTTTATTTGGTCATCAATAGGAGATAGATGTGAAGTTTCTGGAGGGAGAAATTGTAAAATTACAAAGAACCATATGCAACATTGCTGACTTAGGCCTGGGCACAACCAGGAGATAGCAGACTGTACAATTTAGAAGATCATTTTGGTGTGCATATTCATTCAGCTGTTTCTAATTAGAATCCCTTGGTTAAGAATTCTGCTTCAGTATCTTCTCCCAAGTTAATCAATACCTTAATAAAAAAGAGTAAAATTAAATGCTCAACTAAAGAAGAAAAATGCTTTTCTTCAAAAATTCAATGTCATAAGGGGAAAAAAAAGATAGAGGCACTGGATTAGATTGAATAGAACTAAAGAAACATTAAAATCAATGTAATGTGGAACCCTTGACTGAATCCTAGATCCAAAAAATAAGATATGAAAGGCATTTTTGAGATAACTGTGGACATGTAAATATGGGTGATATATAAATGTTTGGAATTATTAATTTTTGGGGGTGTGATACAGTATTACAATTATGTGGTAAAATCTTAATTCTGAGATAGGTATATGCTCAAGTATTTAAGTGGGAAGTGTTATAACGCTGGCAAATTAAGTTAAAATGATGTAGGAAAGGAGGTGGAGTCAAGATGGCGGTGTGGAAAGATGTGGAGTTAGCGTCTCCCCACGACTAGGGCACCTGCCGGCTGCTGGTGGGGGACTCTCATGCCCAAGGAGACGGGAGGAACTGCAAAGTGAACCAGTAGGACACAGGGGGACTGAGGGGGGAGGAGAAGTGGAGGCCAGACAGGATCGGCACCCCTGAGGCCGGCTAGGTCAGAAGACACAGGCAGGAGGGACTCACCAGGAAGAGTGGGAAAGGAGCCTGCTGAGTTCCCAGGCCAGTCCCCTGCCCCCCAAAGTCCCCTCCAGGCCACGTAGGTCCTTGGGGGCACAGGAGGGAAGCCCAGGAGATCAGGAGGGGCCCTCCCAGACCAGAGGCACAGGAGAGAAGAGGGGGGCATTTGCCCCACCACTTGAGCCCAGGAATCCTGCTGAGCCCCTAGGTAAGGCCCCCTGCCCTCTGAGACCAGGTGTGGGGGGCAAGCCTGGGCCCCTTCTGTTCCTTGAGCCTAAGCTCCACCCCCCACAACCCCCAGGGCCTTTTCCAGCCCTGTGGGTCCTGAGCATAGGCCCTGCCCACCACCCAAACCTCGCTCTTGCTTAAGCAACCCCTCCACGGCCAAGGCCCCTATCCCTTTTTCTTTTATCTCACCACTGGACTGACAGAGAACCTCAGACCCCAGGGAATATTCATCAGAGTGAGGACTCACAGAGGTCCTCAGCTCAGCACGAAGACCCAGCTCTACCCAATAAGCCTACAAACTCCAGTGCTGGAAGCCTCAGGACAAACCAGTAAGGTAGGAACACAATCCCACTCATTTAAAAAAAAAAAAAAAAGAGACAGCAAAAAACATGTCATGGATGAAGGAGTAAGGTAAAAACCTAAAGGGTCAAATAAATTAAGAGGAAATAGGCAACCTACCTGAAAAAGAATTCAGAATAATGACAGTAAAGATGATCCAGAATCTCAGAAATAGAATGAAGGTACAGATTGAGAACATACAAGAAATGTTTAACAAAGATCTAGAAGAACTAAAGAACAAACAGAGATGAACAACATAATAACTGAAATGAAAATTACACTAGAAGGAAACAGTAACAGAATAACTGAGGCAGAAGAACAAATCAGTGAGCTGGAAGTCAAAATGGTGAAAATAACTGCCGAGGAGCAGAATAAAGAAAAAAGAATGAAAAGAATTGAGGACAGTCTCAGAGACCTCTGGGACAACACTAAACTCACCAATATTCGAATTAGAGGGGTCCCAGAAGAGGAAGAGAAAAAGAAAGGGTCTGAGAAAATATTTGAAGAGATTATAATTGAAAACTTCCCTAACACGGGAAAGGAAATAGTCACCCAAGTCCAGGAAGCACAGAGTCCCATACAGGATAAACCCGAGGAAAAACACACCAAGACACGTAATCATCAAAGTAAAAAAAATTAAATTCAAAGAAAAACTATTAAAAGCAGCAAGGGAAAAAACAAGAAATGACATACAAAGGAATCCCCAATAAGGTTATCAGCTGATTTTTCAGTGGAAACTCTGCAGGCCAGAAGGGAGTGGCAGGATACACTTAAAGTGATGAAGGAGAAAAACCTACAACCAAGATTACTCTACCCAGCAAGGATGTCATTAAGATTCGATGGAGAGGGCTTCCCTGGTGGCGCAGTGGTTGGGAGTCCACCTGCCGATGCAGGGGACGCGGGTTTGTGCCCCAGTCCGGGAGGATCCCACGTGCCGCGGAGCGGCTGGGCCTGTGCTCCACAATGGGAGAGGCCACAACAGTGAGAGGCCCGTGTACCACCAAAAAAAAAAAAAAAAAAAAAAGATTCAATGGAGAAGTCAAAAGCTTTTCAGACAAGCAAAAGCTAAGAGAATTCATCACCACCAAACCAGCTTTACAACAAACGCTCAAGAAACTTTGCTAAGGGGGAAACACAAGAGAAGAAAAAGACCCACAAAGACAAACCCAAACAATTAAGAAAATGGTAATAGGAACATACAAATTGATTATTACCTTCAACGTGAATGGATTAAATGCTCCAACCAAAAGACACAGACTTGCTGAATGGATACAAAAACAAGTCTCATATATATGCTGTCTAGAAGAGACCCATTTCAGACCTACGGACACATACAGACTGAAACTGAAGGGATGGAAAAAAGATACTCCATGCAAATGGAAAGAAAGCTGAAGCAGCAATACTCGTATCAGATAAAATAGACTTTAAAATAAAGACTGTTACAAGAGATAAGGAGGGACACTACATAATGATCACAGGATCAATCCAAGAAGAAGATAAAACAATTATAAATGTTTAGGCACCAACACAGCAGCACCTCAATACATAAGGCAAATGCTAACAACCATGAAAGGAGAAACTGACAGAAACACAATAATAGTAGGGGACTTTAACACCCCACTTACACCAATGGACAGATCATCCAAACAGAGAATAAATAAGGAAACACAACCTTTAAATGACACAAGAGACCAGATAGATCTAATTGATATTTATAGAACATTCTACCCTAAAGTGGCAGAATACACTTTCTTCTCAAGTGCACATGGAACATTCTCCAGGATAGATCACATCTTGGGTCACAAATCAAGCCTTGGAAAACTTAAGAATATTGAAATTGTATCAAGCATCTTTTCTGACCACAATGCTATGAGACTAGAAATCAATTACAGGAAAAAACCTGTAAAAAACAAATACATGGAGACTAAACAGTGCACTACTATATAACCAAGAGATTGAAGAAATCAAAGAGGAGATCAAAAAATACCTAAAACAAATGACAATGAAAACACGATGACCCCAAAAGCTATGGGATTCAGCAAAAGCAGTTCTAAGAGGGAAGTTTATAGCAATAGAATCTCACCTCAAGAAACAAGAAAAATCTCAAATAAACAATCTAACCCTACACTTAAAACAACTAGGGAAAGAAGAAGAAAACCTAAAATCAGTAGAAGGAAACAAATCATAAAGATCAAAGCAGAAATAAATGAAATACAAACAAAGAAAACAATAACAAAGATCAATAAAAGTAAAAGCTGGTTCATTGAGAAGATAAACAAAACTGATAAACCTTTAGCCAAACTCATCAAAAAAAAAAAAGGGAGAGGACACAAATCAATAAAATTAGAAATGAAAAAGGAGAAATCACAACTGACACTGCAGAAATACAAAGAATTATAAGAGACTACTGCCAACAACTATATGCCAATAAAATGCACAACCACAAAGAAATGGACAAATTCTTGGAAAGGTACAATTTTCCAAGACTGAACAAGAAAGAATTAGAAAATATAAACAGATGTATCACAAGTAATGAAATTGAAACCATAATTAAAAATCTTCCAACAAACAAAAGTCCAGGACCAGATGGCTTCACAGGCGAATTCTATCAAACATTTAGAGAAGAGCTAACACCCATCCTTCTCAAACTCTTCCAAAAAACTACACAGGGAGAAACACTCCCAAATTTATTCTACGAAGCCACCATCATCCTGATACCAAAACCAGAAAAAGATATCACAAAAAAAGAAAATTATAGACCAATATCACTGATGAACATAGATGGAAAAAACCTCAAGAAAATACTAGCAAACAGAATCGAAAAGCACATTAAAAGGACCATACACCATGATCAAGTGGGAATTATCCCAGGGATGCAAGGATTCTTCAATATATGCAATCAATCAATGTGATACACCACATTAGCAAATTAAGGAATAAGAACCATATGATCATCTCAATAGATGCAGAAAAAGCTTGTGACAAAATTCAACACCCATTTATGATAAAAACTCCATAAAATGGGCATAGAGGGTACCTACCTCAACATAATCAAGGCCATATATGACAAACCCACAGCAAGCATCATACTCAATCGTGAAAAACTGAAAGCATTTCCACTAAGATCAGGAACAAGACAAGGATGTTCACTCTTGCCACTATTATTCAACATAGTTTTGGAAGTCCTAGCCATAGCAATCAGAGAAGAAAAAGAAATAAAAGGAATACAAACTGGAAAAGAAGAAGTAAAACTATCACTGTTTGCCAATGACATGATATTATACGTAGAAAATCCTAAAGATGCCACCAGAAAACTACTAGAACTAATCAATGAATTTGGTAAGGTTGCAGGATACAAAATTAATGCACAGAAATCTCTGGCATTCCTCTACACCAACAATGAAAAATCAGAAAGAGAAATAAAGGAAACACTCCCATTTGCCACTGCAACAAAAAGAATAAAATACCTAGGAATAAACCTGCCTAAGGAGGCAAAAGACTTGTACTCAGAAAACTATAAAACACTGATGAAAGAAATCAAAGATGACATAAACAGATGGAGAAATATATCATGTTCTTGGGTTGGAAGAATCAATACTGTGAAAATGACTATACTACCCAAAGCGATCTACAGATTCAATGCAATCCCTATCAAACTACCAATGGCATTCTTCACAGAATTAGAACAAAAAATTTTACAATTCGTATGGAAACACAAAAGACCCCGAATAGCCAAAGCATCTTGAGAAAGAAAAACGGAGTTGGAGGTATCAGGCTCCCCGACTTCAAACTACACCACAAAGCTACAGTAATCAAGACAGTACGGCAGTGGCACAAAAACAGAAATACAGATCAACGGTACGGGACAGAATGCCCAGAGATTAACCCACGCACATATGGTCAACTAATTTACGACAAAGGAGGCAAGAACAATGGAGAAAAGACAGCCTCTTCAATAAGTGGTGCTGGGAAAACTGGACAGCTACATGTAAAAGAATGAAATTAGAACAATACCTAACACCATACACAAAAATAAAGTCCAAATGGGTTAAAGACTTAAATGTAAGACCAGACACTATAAAACTCTTAGGGGAAAACATAGGAAAAACACCCTTTGACATAAACCACAGCAAGATCTTTTTTGATCTACCTTCCACAGTAAGGGAAATAAAAGCAAAAATAAACAAATGGGACTTAATTAAACTTAAAAGCTTTTGCACAGCAAAGGAAACCATAAACAAGACAAAAAGACAACCCTCAGAATGCGAGAACATATTTGCAAATGAAACAACAAAGGATTAATCTCCAAAATATACAAACAGCTCATGGAGCTCAATATAAAAAAACAAACAATCCAGTTTAAAAATGGGTGGAAGACCCAAACAGACATTTCACAAACGAAGACACACAGATGGCCAAGAGGCACATGAAAAGATGCTCAGTATCACTAATTATTAGAGAAATGCAAATCAAAGCTACAATGAGGTATCACCTCATGTTGGTCAGAATGGCCGTTATCAAAAAATCTAGAAATGATAAATGCTGGAAAGGGTGTGGTGAAAAGGGAACTCTCCTGCACTGTTGGTGGGAATGTAAACTGATACAACCACTATGGAAAACAGTATGGAGGTTCCTTAAAAAACTAAAACTAGAATTACCATATGACCCAACAATCCCACTACTGGGCATATACCCTGAGAAAACCATAATTCAAAAAGAGACATGTACCCCAATGTTCACTGCAGCACTATTTACAATAGCCAGGACATGGAACCAACCTATATGTCCAATGACAGATGAATGGATAAAGAAGATGTGGCACTTATATACAATGGAATATTACTCAGCCATAAAAAGAAAACTGGAGTTATTTATAGTGAGGTGGATGGACCCAGAGTCTATCACACAGAATGAAGTAAATCAGAAAGAGAAAAACAAATATATATTAACACATATATGTGGAATCTAAAAAAAAGAGCTAGACATAGAAAATGGACTTGAGGACATGGGGTGGGAGGGCGAAACTAGGGCGAAGTGAGAGTAGCATCGACATACATACACTACCGAATGTAAAATAGTTGGCTGATGGGAAGCAGCTGCATAGCACAGGGAGATGGGCTTGGTGCTTTGCAATGACCTAGAGACGTGGGATAGAGAGGATGGCAGGGAGGCTCAAAAGGGAGGGGATATGGGGACATGGCTAATTCACTTTCTTGTGCAACAGAAACTAACACAGTATTGTAAAGCAATTATACTCCAATAAAGAGCTATTTAAAAAAATATTTTAAAAAATGCTGTAGGAAATATATACATATATGAAGGGAGAGAGGGAGAGCACGAGGGTGGAAATAAGGGTGCTTGAGCAAATGTGGCAAAATTTTAACGATTATCTGTTAGAGCGTTTTTCACTTTTCCTGCAGATGTGAAAATATATAAAATAAAATGGTGGAGGAAAAAAAACTTTTTAACAATCCACTTGGTTCATCTAAATTTGGTCACCTAAATTAATATACTCCAAGATAAATGGGAAGATTGTGGTGATACACACTGAATTATGATGTTTTTAAAAATGTGAGGGCAGGAGCTCACTCCCAGAGCCTAGCACAATACTCTCTGCATTTAAGAAGAGCATAACAAGGGTATGTGCTGTGTAAGTGGGTACCTAAGTATCTAGATGTATTAGGAGGAAAGGGACAGAGAAGGTGAGTGCTGGTGGTGGGGAAGGCTGTCAACTATAGAAATAACTGTAAAATACAATGACTCTAATTCTTTTCAAAGGTTGTGTTATTTGAGTAAATGCTTTTCAGTTTTTGCTTGAATGTCTATTACTGACCACAGTAAAAAGCAGCATAAGTAGGTAAGATCAGCCTCTCTGAATATTTGATTACGAGCCTGAGTACTTTCTCGAAAAGGCAAACATGTATTTTGACAACTTTAAAAAAACTATGTGGTCACAATACTTATCACCAGAGAGAAAATTTTAACTTCTACAAAATATCAGTAAGAGCCAAGATAATCTAAGCACCATTTCAAAATGAAAAACATTTTTCTTTACAGAATTTTACAGCTGAAAAGAACTTTAAAAGGTCATTGAGTCAAATTCTTCATCATGTATAACTATATTCCTATTTTAATCAGATCTAAAATACTATACACACACACTTAACACCAAAAATTAACAATCTATGAAGAAGACTATTTTTTTGATAATCACAATAATATCTGACAATATTTGCAGGACATGATGGAATCTTGCATTACAAAGACACTTATTTATTTAGGATAAAGCAGGGTGAGGCTGGGTATTTCAGATATGTATCACCATATATCCTCCAAATCTGAGATTCAAGTAAGTCCTGATATCCAAAACCCATTTCTGCCCAAAACTATAGTCATATGTCTTGTACTGGGAGAAGAAGAAATTTTATTCCATGACCCTCCTTAGCACAGTTCTGTTTTATTTTTAATATACATCTGTGTCCCAAATATATGGATCAATTTTGGTGATGAAGATAAGATACAATGATAAGGTTTGCAATGATGGGACAAAGTAGTCAAGTCTGTAAAGACAGACCACTCTGCTTTGAAAAGAATATCCAATTAGGGTCAAAAAGAAAAACAAAAGTATACATAAAATGTTCTTGAATCAATATATTCTGGCAATCAATTGTATATTTAACATTAAAATAATTTTAAAAAGACTTTATCTTTTATTAATATATAATGTAAAACCATTTTCAAATCAGAAAATTGTAGTCATTTAAAAAGTTAATCTTACTGTACAGACATATTAGCTGTAATGGATAAACTAGCATTGGGAAGCTTATCTAATACTAGTTTTGAAACCAGGTAGCAAGCTACATTAGTTTTAAAAATCAGCAAAGGTAAAGTGCCTTTTTTCCTCCTTAAATGCATAGAAAATATACACCTTACATTGCTAAATATACAATAAGTAGGACGTTTACCATCAACCTAAAAAAAAGCTGTACCAAAATCTGTTCACAACAGGGTCATCACTGGTTTTAAGTTAGAGAGAGAATATGGGTTTTTAAATTTTGCAACTTAGAAAGTATTTATCAAATATAAATAGTTGCATTTAAAGATTAAAATTTAAATAGGTAACTCCCAATTTTGAGAAATCTGTAAATGCTTTAAAATAGACATCAGTGACTATTAGTTAACCAGTTAAAAACAATTATAAATACTAATATGTTTGTAAAATTATATTTCACTTGTAGAAAACCATATGGAAATAAATACTTGTTCACATTATGAATGACTTTTTTAAATGCTTACTGTACTTGGATTCAACTGCATTTTGACAGGAATACATATCAATAAAAGTGCTTTATTTCTTAAGCCTATATGTCATGCAGCACCAGAAAAGCATTACTTTTTAAAAAATAGAAATCCAACAATTAAGAATTTTTTTAGAAAGAAGAAATATATATAATTTTTTTAGAGAGAAAAATATAATTCCAGATACCTGTTTGAATCTTGACTCTGTGTAGTTTGGATGTGAACTGATCATTAACTGTAAATATGTGACCATTTTCTATTTCCTTTGACTTGGGTTCCTTTGTGAGAACCCGCTGTGTTGGTTTACCACAGGCGAGGGACTGCAGGGCTCTAACAAGTTCTCTTTCAGGGATATCTGTCTCTTGTTGGATTTCCTGAAATTTCATCAGATTAACATAATTAGATTTTTTGAAAGATTAATTAGTAAGTAAAATTGACCAAGCAGTAATTAGAGAGGTAATTCCATTAAATAATTTACAACAAAGAACTTCCTGACTATTATGACTCTAAAATCTCACTTATTTGAACAAATTAGAGAAAAAGGTAGTTCAAATTACAAAATACTGAGAAGACATGTACTTTTTGTTTCAGAGATATAAAGCGTAGTCTAAGAATGTCATCCAGCAGAGATTATTAAGTGACCTGCTTTAATATTTAGGTAAAAAACAAAGTGTTAATCAACACATGACTGCTAATTTTATAAATACTCTACAATCATCCTCTCAAGTTTATCCATACTACTCTTTTGCTTAGCAACTTCTTTCCTAGAAATAATCAAAGTAAGAGTGACCTAAGGTCTTCTATCATACTATCAAAATTTACAATCCAAGTTGCCCATTTTTACTGCCTGTATAACCAAATTAAGAAAAATTTTTTTTAAATACTTGATAATTAATACTAAATATGAAAAGCAACATGAAATATGTTTTGAAGTGCAGGTGATAATTTTTGCTACATTATTATGGCATGAATAAAATGTAATACTGAAAAAAAAAGTTCAGGAAAGCGTGAATCTGTAACTTTTAAATTCATTATATTCTTTTTATGTCAATGGGACAGTAAGAGAATTGTACATGTATATGATTTAGTCCCTTCACATCTACAGGTACTGTATGGTGCAGCAAGTCTTCATATTAGGATACATCATTTTGATTCACATTGTATAAAGCTGTTTTTTTCTCAAAAGGAGCTCAGGAAGAGTGGGTATAAAGATGGTGTTATTCAGAGTATGTAACTGATCTGGAGAGAGTTGTTCTCCCTTACACAAGTCTATGAAGAACAGTTTAGGCTTTTCTAAAGGACTGTCAGGTAAGTGAAACTGAAAGAAATGTGACCTTTAGTGATGACGATGCATATTCCCTTGCTTCAAATGATCTCAGTATGTCTACATACTTTAGACATATAAATGTTAATCCCACCATATTAAATAGGTGCTATTAATAATTAGAATGTTAACTGTAATTATTATGTACATTCTAAAAGTGACTTATTTACATGTATTATTGTTTAACCATAGTCAAAGAACCGGAAATACCTTCTTAGGTGGTATTTTAACAACTACAGATCATTCCTAGAGGTAGCTACAGATCTTACTCAAATTACAACGGGGTTATGTCCTAGTAAACTCATAGTACTGAATAAGCTGAAAATGCATTTAATGCGCGTAACCTACTGAACATCCTAGCTGAGCCTAGCCTACCTTAAACATGCTCAGAACACGTACCTTAGCCTATAGTTGGGCAAAATCATCTAACACAAAGCCTATTTTTTATAATGGTGTTGAATATCTCATGTAATTATTGAATATTGTACTGAAAGTAAAAATCAGAATGGTTGTATGGGTACAGAACGGTGATAAGTGTATCAGTTGTTTACTCTTGTGATCACCTAGCTGAGAGCTGCAGCTTGCTGATCCCAGCCTGGGAAAAGATCAAAATTCAAAGTACAGCCTCAACTGAATGCGTACTGCTTTGTGCCATCATAAAGTTGAAAAATCTTAAGTCAAACCACCATAAGTCAGGAAATGTCTGTACTGCAATTCAATGTTCATCCTTCTATGCCATTTTAAAAAATACATCTATATATACACACACACACACGAATACAAATACACATATACATGTATGCACATTAACATACTTACCTGTACACTAGTATTAGTGTTAAATATAAACAGGATCACACCATATGAATTCTTCCATTAATTTCTTGATGATTTTGCATGTTTGCATAACGACGTTAAAGCTACAGGGAATTCCATAGTACTGCTCTATCACAATATGGAGATTGAGATTGTATCCAATTTTGTGATGGAGCATGCATTTCTGCCTGAGTACAAGAGCTAGGTTTCTGAAGCAGATTTCTAGAAATGTACTTGTTTCCTCAGAGTTATAAAGATTTTATAGACAACAAGCTGCCTTTCAAGTTTCTTAACTATTTAACTTCACAGCAGTTGTAAGTATTCATTCTCTCTACCTTCAAACACAGAACTGGCTTTTTCTTTTGCCTACTGGGCTAAAAATGTTATCTCATTATTTTAATTTGTACTTCTATAACCAATAGGAGAAAAAACCATCTTTTAATGTTTACAAGATATCTGTAACTCTTCTTCTGTGCTTTATCTATTCGTATTCCTTCCACGTTTTTCTATTCAACTGTTTTTGTATCGATTTACTGGTGCTCTTTACGTATTACAGTTTTCAATACTCTTACTTGCTGTAAATAATTTCTCCTAGATTTTTTTTTTTTTTTGGGGGGGGTGGTATGCGGGCCTCTCACTGTTGTGGCCTCTCCCGTTGCGGAGCACAGGCTCCGGACGCGCAGGCTCAGTGGCCATGGCTCATGGGCCTAGCTGCTCCACGGCATGTGGCATTTTCCCGGACCAGGACACGAACCCATGTCCCCTGCATTGGCAGGCGGACTCTCAACCACTGCGCCACCAGGGAGGCCCTCTCCTAGACTCTTTATCTTCTCTTTTAACTTATTTCATCATTTACATGTTTTATTACTTTTTACTTGGTTAAATCTGTCAGTCTTTTTCTTTGTGGTTTATGTAACAAGCTTGAAAAAAGGCCTTACTTATATCACGCTTATCATTGTTTTTTTCTATTACATTTATAGATTTGTGCTTACATCTACCTGGAAGTTGATTTTACATTTGATATGACATATGGAACTAAGTTCGCCATACTATTCTCCTTCCATTCCCACAAATGAAGTAGCAGTTATTTTAATTTAGTTTATTAGAAATAGTAAATATATCGCATTCCAAACACCTCTCTATATACTAATCTGTTTCTGAACTCTCTATTTTGTTCAAATGACCTATTTGTCTACACATGTTAAAAACAATTTTAACTTTGAGGTATGTCTGGGTATTAAGACATACGCCTTTCCCTCTTACTGGGCCTTCCCATCTCCCAAATCCCTGCCCCTCTTTGCCTATTCTTGTGCATTTTCTTGCCCAGATGAATTCTGGGATCAGCCTGTCAAGTTTCACAGAAAAGAAATCTTCCGCAGATTTGGACTGACATTTCACTGAATTTATAGGTGACTTAAAAAAAAAAAAAAGTCCTTTATAACACATAGCTTTCCCTTTCAGGTACATTTACCCTTCCATATTCTTTTCTTTTATTGCCTTTTTCGATTAAGTCTTCTACTTTTTGGGTTAGAATGATTCCTAGAAAGATTATGAGTCTTATTAAAACATCCTTTTTCTCATGTCATTTTCAGATTAATTCTGATGTAGAGAAAAGTTGACTTAAAGTAAGTATGATTTATAGAAAAACTTCTCAACCAAACTCTCATTTCTCAGTTGATTATTATAGCTGACAATCATACTGTCGACAAACTTTGTCAGCTCCTGATATTTATAAATTTTATTCCTTTTTCTTTTCTAGTGTGTTAATTAGGACCTGCAGAACAAGGCTGGATAGCAGTAGTATAGGCAGGTATCCTAAATTTTTCCTAACCTTAATGGGAAGCTGTCTAAATTTTACTACTAATTACTGTTTGCTTAGGTCTCTCATTTAAAGCTTAGGTCTCTCATTAGATACACCCATATGCCATTAGGCATTTCATTCTATTCTTAGGTGGCTAAGAGTCCCCCATCTGCAAATAAGAAGTGGGGGCTGACTCTTCTCGTGTGCTTTTTGCACATTTGTGGAAATCACTGATTTTCTCCTTGAAATGATGTCTGGTAATATAGCAGGTGATCAGTTAATTTTATTATTATTATAAAATCTCAGTAACTATCTGTTAACAAATTCCTTCTTTGTATTCCAGGAATAAACCCTGTTTGGACAGAGTGAATTATTATTTCAATAGACTGCTGAATATAACTTGCTAATAATATTTTACTTAAGATTTGTGTATTTATTTTGAATAACCTATAGCTTCCCTTTCTTTTTTGTATTTTCCTTGTTCAGTTTTAGTAATAAGGTTATGCCAGCCTCAGATATTTCCCAAGAACAATTTGTGTATTTTGCTTTCTGAGTTTAAAGTTCCCTGTATAGCTTTCAATTTTAATTTGCTAATTGTGTTATTCAAATCTTCTATATCCCTCTTTTTTATCATATAGTCAATGAGTACACTTGTGAGGGATTTCTGTAACTGTGGAATTGTCTATTTCTCCTTGTACTTCCAACCATTTTCCTTCATATATTGTTATGCCACATTACTGACATAAGTTCTCAATGAAATATCAATTACCACTGCTGTTTAATGGTTTTCTATTCAAATTCTGTCTGACATGAATTTTGCTACTGTCTACAATTAGCTTTTATATTTCAGACTCATTCTCAGAAATGTTTGAAAAGTATAATAAACATTCAGAAAAATGTATTAATATCCATACCTCTTTCAAAAATTAAATGCTATTACTAAAAATCCAAGGTACAGATTACCACTATATGTATTTCCGTATTTTAGCTGTTCTAAATCACAATATGGACTTCATTCCAAAAACTATATAAAAAGAGGAAAAAGCCTGAGTAGCCTGACTACTATGGATTAAATGTGACACTACAATAAATGTCACCTTTTGTAGGCAGTTTCCAAGATGGCCCACAATGATCCTGGTATGTTTTAACCTTGTGTGGTCCCCTCACTGCACCAGGGCTGACTTGAGTGACCAACAAAATAAGGAAGTGACAATACGTGACTTCCAAGGCTGGGTCATAAAGGCACTGCAGGTTCTTCCTGGGTCTCTTGGATCGCTTGCTCTAGGGAAAGTTAGCCACCAGGAGGCAAGGACAATCAAACAGCCATGTTTGGTAAAGCCCATGTGGAGAGAAACTAAGACCTCTTACCAACAGCCAAAACATACTTGCCAGCCACGTGGAAGAAGGCGCATACCGATAGCATTTTCCAGCCCTAGACGAACATTAGACAACTAAAGCCCCAGCTGACATCTTAAACTCACGAACGAGTCCAAGCCAGAACCACCCAGAGAGCCCCTCCTGAATCCCCAACCCACAGATACCACGAAAGATAATAAACTGTTAGTGGTTGTTTTAAAACGTGAATTTGAGACCTGTTGTGTAGCATTAAATAATGAATACACCATCTTACTGAACTTATAAAGAAAGAATATTCAAAGATAAGAGATCAGCTTCCTTTAGTAATTACTATAGTTAAATACTTTTAACTGTCTCCTCTAATTTGTGGCAATTTCTGTAAAAGAGATGTCTAATAAAACTTATGCGGCAGACTGACTATAAGGACATAGTGTGAGTAAAGACAAAAAACTTCATGTGCCTTTTCACTATTCCCTGGTTTGAGATGCAAGCAGCCAGAAGGTTTTGGAGCCACAGGAATGGCATTTTACATACGCCACTTATGCTCAGGCTTCTGGTTTGTGACTTAGCTAAAATTTAAAATATTACAGGAATTTTCTACTTAATTTTACCTTCTACCTAAATCACTGCTCACTAGCCTCACTGATCGCAAGCTGACTGGGACAAGAAAAGGAAGCTTGAACCACTAAAATTACTAGCAATTCCAATAATGGCTTAAGAAAATCAATTTATGTTTTTGTTTATCCCACTATTTTTGCCAGCTCTTTATAAAGTAGGACTCTGAAAACCAACTGCAGCATTTATCAAGTAGCTTATTTTGTTTAAAATATATTATCCATGAGAACAGCAGATTAAAACATCCAAGCTGTTAAAGATAATTCAATTCCACCTGTCTGAAAAGGCTTACAATGTTTGGGTAAGGTACTCAATACTTACTTAATCAATATTCTTTAGAACTCAATCACATTTAACTTGTGCTTGAAACTTAAAGTTATTCCCTAGGTAAAACACGCCTGGAAATTTATAAGAGCAAAACCTCTTGGCTTAGCCACTGACCTAAAAATAAAACACTTATGTTTCAAAATATTTCCTTGAGGTATATCACATAAAAAGTCATCTCTTAACTATATCATCATCACAAAAAGGGAATATGGAGATGAGTATTAAAATAGGCCTAGAATTTAATCTTGCTCTTCATTTCAAACCTAAACTTATTTCTTCCTATATTCATTCACCTATGTCTGAAAATTGATTTTCAGTTAAGTATAAATATGGCTATAATTCTACAGCTTTTAAAAATATTCATTCCTTATCTTTAATTTAAACTTACTAAAAATCACATGATCTTCATTTCAACTCCAACCTACTCATCAAAGGTATGGGAAAAGACTAAATGAATTTAATTCAATCAAATCATGACTTAATGGGAGAAACAAAAAGTATATTATAATATATATACTCTAAGAAAAAAAAAAGAAAGTTGACACTATCAAAATAGTGTAAAATTAGCATAAGGATAGACATAGAAATTAATGAAATAGATCAGAGTGTGCAGAAGTAGACCCACATACATATGGTCAACTGAATTTTTTTTTTTTTTTAAAATAAAGGGCTCAAAGTAATTCAAAGGGAAAAGACTAGTGTTTTGGACAAATGATGCTGGAATGAACAACTGAATACCTATGTGTGGGGAGGAAATAATTCTTAATCCTTACCTCTAACCATACCAAAAAAATTAACTTGAAATTGATCATAGGCCTAAATGTAAAAGCTAAAACTATAAATCACTTAGAAGAAAATCTTTGCAAACTTGGGATAGCCAATAATTTCTTAGATATCAAAAGCATGAACCATAAACGTAAAAAAGTGGCCACTGGACTTCGTCAATATTAAAAAGTTCTGCTCTTCAGAATGTAACATTAAGAAAATGAAAAGGCAAGTGACAGACTGTGAGAAAATATTCACAGAACATAGATTTGATGAAGGATTTGTATCCAGAATTTGTAAAGAACTTTTTAAAAACCCGATAAAGATATGAACAAAGAATTCACCAAACAAGACATAAGTGGCATATGAACAAATAAAAAATGCTCAATGTCATTATTAGTCAAGGAAAGAAATTAAATCCACAATGTATACGTACAATTACACACCAGCTAAAATGGCTAAAATTTAAAAGACTGACAATACTAAATTTTGGAGAGGATGTGGGGCAACTAGAACTCTCCTACACTGCTGGCGGGAATGTAAAATGGTAAAAATCACTTCAGGATGCAGTTTGGCAACTTCTTTAAAAAGTTAAACATATAGCTCTATTCACTACAGTCTAAATCTGAGAACAACCCAAATGCCAGGTGAGAATCAGAAACAATTGGTTAAAATTCACATAACCAGCCCATACCTCAAATGTGTATTTTTCTCTATTATTGAAGAGCATTAATATGGTCATCTGGAAAGTGGAGACTTGCAATATATGCTTCCGCGTATTAGAGCCAGTTACTTGTGCCCCTCCAACACCAACTTCAGATCCATCTTCCTGTTTAATTTTTTAAATATAAAAATAGAAACAAGATATAATTATCTCCCAGTAACTTTAACAGTATATTTGAAAAATAAGTTCTGTAATGCCCAACCTCCCCTTAATAAAATGATATAAACTCATTCCTATATAAAAAGGAAATGTTATTTTAAAAGTGTACGTGTAAATATGTGTGTATACATACACACAAAGTCTTTATTTAGGACTGTCCCATTTTTTTCCATTATGAACATTTTAATGTATCTGAGCAAGTAATTCCTTATATTTATAACTAAAATTATGTTAACAGTACACAATGGGATAATAATGGACTTATAAGATGCTACTGCCATTATACTACTACCCTAAAGTAGTATTAGTTTTCTTTCTGTGTGGTCTGATCATGGTAAGATTTCAAATAATAGCACAGGGTGGGGAGAAAAAACCTCTGCCATCCTTGAAGCCTATTCCTGCTCTATGATTTAGAAGTACAAAGTAGAAATTCAGTCCTCAATAATTAACATATGAATTATGTTTTTAAAACCTACTGATCTGTTTAATAAAACCTCAAAAGATAACATGATTATTTAGGAAAAAAACCCTCTCCTTTAAAACAGCAACAAGAAAGCAATAATTAAAAGCTGAGTTCTTCAGTATGTATCCTTGACCTTCCCACTTACAGTTAAATATATAATAGTGTCAAACATTATTCAACTAACTGAACTCTAAGGACTATTTCCCACTTCAATTATATATAAAAATTAGAACATGTATATAGGCATCTTCAACAATATTAAAAAAAAAACTTTGGTGTTGCAGTGACAAGTAAGATTTTAATTAAAATATTTAATGAAACTGTTATTTGCTGCCAAGATGACAACTTAGGTATTTTTAATGTTTTTTAGAAGCTTTTTATTATTTTGCCATTTTAAGCCAAATGACCCTGATTTGATTTATACCAAGCAATGAAGTAAATTATTACTCTAAACCTCACAATTTTACATACAAAAAAGCAATTACTTCTTTAAATGAAGGCACTTCTCTAGTGTATTGTTTTTTTTTTTTTTTGCAGTACGCGGGCCTCTCACTGTTGCGGCCTCTCCCGCTGCAGAGCACAGGCTCCGGACGCGCAGGCCCAGTGGCCACGGCTCACGGGCCCAGCCGCTCCACGGCACGTGGGATCCTCCCGGACCGGGGCACGAACCCGCGTCCCCCGCATCGGCAGGCAGACCCCCAACCACCGCGCCACCAGGGAAGCCCCTGTATTGTTAATTTTTAAATAATCACTTTAGCAACATTTTGTACATTTCACAAATCTTACGTGTTAGCTTTCCCGGTTTCAATTTATTGGAAATAAGGATTATAGGAGACTGAGAATTTTGAAAAGGAACTCATGGCTTTGTATGCCCTCAAATCCATTATTTTATGCAATATTATCTCAAATCTAATCTTATAAATAAAACATGTAATTATATTATTTATTCTATAAGGAAGGCTACTGGTATAGTCTTCATATTGTCAAATGAAGTTAGCAACTAAGGGAACAGAAATCAATAAATCAAAGCCGAAGTTTCCCTCTTTTTAATATTTGAAACAGGTAAGGAAATAAAAGAAATAATTTATCCAAGTCAACAAAAATCACAAATCACTTCTGCAGACTAATTTTAAGTTACTTAATAAAAATACCTTCAAACTATTAATATTTACCTTTTTAACTGGTCCATAAAAGGTGGCATTGAGATCTGCAGAACCCATATGATGTTGGAGTGTGAGCTGTCGACCACTGTGTTTGGCTAAGTAAAACCTTCAGCAAATCAAACCAGGTTTTTGAGAATCATGTAATTTATATATGTGAAATTATAAACTACCAACCCTTAACAAACATATATGTAAGGGAGACTTTAAAAGCTAAACAAAACCTTAGGAATCAAGTTCAGTTCCAATTTTTTTTTACAGAAAAGAAGCCCTAAATAAGGGGTGGGGGTGGCTGGGTGGGAAACAGACCTAAGAAACTTAGCTAGATATTAAGTGATAAAGGTAGCACACTACTTTCTACCAGTACATTTATTTGCCCCTGGCTGCTGCTCAGCCACCGCTGTTTATACGACCTCCTTTCTCCATAGTTAACCCAATCAGCAAGTCACCCCAAGCTAGTGTCAGACATCAACAATACAAAATATACTCCTAACCATGCACTAATGCTGAAGAAAGCAGATTGATATTCCTCTGAAAAGTTTATGCAATTCATCCTTACATATTAAATGCATAAAGGATAACATGAGATTTAAAAAATGGAGTATATACCCCTTCAACTGGGGACACTACTGAATGCTCAAATTTATCTAAATTCTGGACAATTTGTACTTAGAAATACAAAGTTTGATGTACATTTACCTTCTAAATATCTCAAAAGCATGTCTTGGTGCTGGTGGGATGTTGCACTTTGGTGTGGCTGACTGAGTGGGCCAATAACCTGTTGTGAGCACCCGAACTGTGAGATCAACACCACCTAAAGATACCTGTGGAAAAGAGAAGAAAATGTTCCCCCCTAATTAGCTAGGATGTGTTATCTGTTCCATACAGACACTGTGTTAGAGTTATCAAAGTAGTTATCTCCATATCCAACATTCAGCAAATAAAACACATCTTCTTAAAAGTTCCACTCATCCAATGTTTTCCTAATTTTAACTATCCTGGCACATTTATAATTATTGCTTAAGATGCTGAATTTACAATACTGATCAAAGTTCCTAGCATATGAACAAAGTCTTACTGGTGTCATTGGAAAGTACAGAGATTTTGGTCCTCAAGATTTTTTTCAGATAAAATGTCAAGGGGCCATTATCAGTATCATTTTAGGGGAAATTCTAGAATAATACCTTTCATCTCAGCTTTTAAACATTTTTACCATCTTAACACAGAAACAACACATTTCTAATATCCCAGTCACATTTCAACTATATTGACCATAACCTCCATGTTTTCACATGCAGCTCACATTCTAACAACCTCTGCACAGGACACTAGATCCAGTTCTACACAGCAGGTGCTCTATAAGCATTTGCATAATGCTTGACTACCTCTACAAAATATATGCTAGCATTACCATCACAATTAGATATTTTTTCTTTTTAAATAAATTACAATTTTAAGAAAACAAAAATAAAACACATCAGAAGAAATTCTAAAGGGGGAAATATCTTTATTTTTAATATTCACAGCTTGTTTTAAACCATTATTCCATTTTTATGTAACCTGGATGATTTAGTGATAGAAATTCTTTAAAGAAAAAAATGAGTTTATAAATATCAAGAAGTATTCCACACTCAGATTTCTTCATAAATATCTAATAAATGATTTACTCTATTTTAAAGAAACTGAATCCAGAAAGCTTACATGACACATAGGAGAGATGATCACAGCAGACTCTTAGATGATGAATGGAGAAGGGGCTGAGAACTGTTTGTACACTTGTAATTGGGAAGGGGGTCACAACTTGGTTCAATCCACCCAAGACAATGAAGTCTTTCATCTCTTTTCCCATATCTCCACGTCTTGCTCCCTAATCTTCAAGTCTTTCCTCAAAATGTCATTTTTTAAAGGAGGCCTTCCTTGACCACTCTTCCTTGCTACAGATTTCCTCTATATCTCCTATCACCAGCTAAGGTGCTATGTAATTACTTATCTTGTTGATCATCTGTCTCCCAGATTGGAAAGTAAGCTCCAACATGGCAGGGATTTTTGTCTATTCTCTGCTGTATGACCAGTGCCTAGAAAAACGCTTGGCACAGAAACAATGAGTTATTTGTTAAATTAAAAAAAGAAAAAGAGGGCTTTCCTGGTGGCGCAGTGGTTAAGAATCCGCCTGCCAATGCAGGAGGCATGGGTTCGAGCCCTGGGCCGGGAAGATCCCACATGCCAAGGAGCAACTAAGCCCGTGTGCCCCAACTACTGAGCCTGCGCTCTAGAGCCTGTGCTCCGCAACAAAAGAAGCCACCGCAATGAGAAGCCTGCACACCGCAACGAAGAGTAGCCCCCCGCTCACCACAAATAGAGAAAGCCCGTGCACAGCAGCGAAGCCCAATACAGCCAAAAATAAATAAATAAAATAAATTTATTAAAAAAGAAAAAGAAAGAACCTCAAGGAACTATTACTCTAATGGTTTGGACCTTTTCTTTCTACCTCTCTTAGTAATATATATATACATATATATATGTATATATATATATATATATATATATTTTTTTTTTTTTTGTTTTCCGGGGGCCTCTCTCTTTTTTGGCCTCTCCCGTTGCGGAGCACAGGTTCTGGACGCGCAGGCTCAGCGGCCATGGCTCACGGGTCCAGCGGCTCTGCGGCATGTGGGATCTTCCCGGACCGGGACACGAACCCGTGTCCCCTGCATCAGCAGGCAGACTCTCAACCACTGTGCCACCAGGGAAGCCCCTCTTAGTAATATTTTTAAACCATTCAGCTTATTTTCCAAGATAGCACATGCCAGGGACAAGTACACAGAAACAGAGGTACCAGAAAAGTCTGTCTGGATGTGACATGATTTGCTGATACAAATAAACAGAAATATGATAGCAAGGTGATTTTCCTGTTCCTATCCCCATTAAAAAAGTAAAACACAGGAAAAAAATGCACACTTAAATTTCCCTCAGCATAATAAATATGACTTATCTAATAAAATATACAAGTATTTAGCATTTTAAGAAAAGTACTTGTTAATATGACTTCTGAAAGTAAACAGAAGAGTCATTCTCTTGGTATATTTAAACAGGCCAAGAACCTTCAAGAAAGTTACAGAGAATTATCTGAGGATTGATGATGTTTTAAAAGGGTTCCAAGATTTCAGAAAGTTCAAGATTTGTTTTGATTCCTCTGTCACTTTTCATCAAATCTTTCTAATGAAGATTAAGGCTCTGGAGACGTAAAGCTTAAGATCCTTAGTTTAAACAATTACAAAATAGCCAATAATTGCATGCAAATAATGGCCTTACAAAGTGAAAGCTGCAACCAGATTAGCAGATATACAACTTTGAACGTCTTGATAAGTACTCTACTTACTGGGATAACAAATTATGAAACAAATATTCCACCAAAAAGTGCAGGATATATCTGAATAATCAAAATGAAAGAATAGAAAATGCACAACTTCATAACAATAGAAAATAACAAAAGCAAACAATCTGATGAAATGATCACGTTGAACAATCATTCCCTCTTTTTTAAATAAGTGCAAGAGAGTGGTCGAGAGTAAATAAAGACCGTAATTTTCTTATCAAAATGCCTTCAACTACCACAGATAAGTTAATTAGACAGCTAAAAAAATAGTAAGGGTTCTGGACCCATCCGGGAACATTCCTTTACATGGTTTCAATACAGCATTTATTCAGACCAGGTTATCTCCTTATAGCTCTTAATATGTGTAACATTAGTGGAAGAAAAACAAAAAATGTACCATATGAAAATATGATTTTATCAATGCATTGGACAGAATGAAGCACAAATCCCTGAACAATCTAAAAGAGAAAAACATCTAGGATAATGACATTATTCAGTCCCTGCCCACTCAAATTTCTATTTATCACAGAGTCTATCTTTCCTGCTCTCAGCCTTTCTCCACTGTAAACATCCGAGGCAAATCACACAACTATTTATAACAAAGAGGAAACAGAAGTCCCTCTGAGTCCGAATGTCTTAATATATATAAATGTCCATTTCTACAGAATTAGGTATTTTCACATATTTTGTTTGTGATGAGACTTATGGGACCAGTAGAAGTGATGATCTTATATTTAAATTTCAAAGAAAAGACCTCCAATTTTTTTTTAAATGGTTGTGACATGTCTTAATTATGAAGTAGTATATTGTCAGTTGAGAGAGAAAATATTAAAGAAAAAATGTGGAGTTCTCTAAACTTAAAGTTACAGTTGAAAAACAGTTTAAAAAAAAAAGAAGAGAGAAGGGAAAGTTCTGAACTTCATTAAACCCCACTGAATCTTCACAAAACCCCACTGGACTCCAAGGCCATATAAGTTGCAGCTTACTGCCTTCTGGGAATCACAATACAAAACCACATTTATAACACACTAGCATCAGTGTTTTTATACTCAGTTCACCCTCCACCGATCCTGAGGATGTCAGGCCCATTTATACTGACATTTCAGATGAATAAGAATACTGACGTACAGGAAAATCAGGTAACAATTCTAAGATAGCACCATCCTGGGGTAAAGTAAAAGGAAGAGCATTGAAACTCAGTAAGCTTGCCTAAGCCTGGTATTCTTTCCCTAACCTAAAAATGGTTATAACAGCAGAATCACTATTTATTAAATTTTCAGTACATTCCTTCAAGTGGGGAAGATAAACTAAGTTTTAATAAGAATAAGAAAAAATATTTTAAGATTAATAGTTAGAAAAAGAGGTTATATGGGAGAAATAATTTTTAAAGCACTCACAGACAATACATATGTTGTCACTAATGGCATTTAAAGAAATGACATGGGGTGGGGGGAAGGATAAATTGGGAGACTGAGATTGACATATACACACTACTATATATAAAATAGATACCTAATAAGAATCTGCTGCATAGCACAGGGAACTCTACTCAATACTCTGTAATGGCCTATATGGAAAAAGAATCTAAAAAAAAAAAAGAGTGGATATATGGTATGTACAACTGATTCACTTTGCTGTACACCTGAAACTAATATAACATTGTAAATCAACTATACTCCATAAAAGTTTTTAAAAAAATAAAGAAATAACACCAGCAATTCAGTTATCTGATTGGACGAAAATGCCCATTACAAAAGACTACATAAACACATTTATATAAGTAGAAATTAATGAAGAATCTTACCCCAGTGGCCTGTAGATGTTGCCTGAACTCATCCATAGTTGTGTTTGAGATGCTCATATCCCTAAACATTCCTTCCAGTTTTGATGTGAACTGACATCCACATTCAGTCTGTGGAAGAAAAACAAATATACACAAATAAATGATGGATTTTACTATTAGAAAATGTACAAAGAAACTCTTCCATGTTACTGTCATCCTTCCTAAATCTTTCCAATAGTTGTTCTATGTCTGTGGATACCAACTTCAGTGTGATTAAGATTAATCCAAGAATTTTATTTTAAAATGCAAATTCCCAGACTCTCTCTGAGATTCCCATAAACCTCACTGAAGGCAGTGCTCAGAACTCTTATGTTTTCAGCAAGAAACACCCATATCAGGTGATATGGGTACAAGTAGTCTGTGAACCACACTTTGTGAAACAGGACTATATGGTGATATTCCCTTTATTGTTTCCCTTGTACTAATCCTCCCCCAGATCTCCATGAATGAATGTATCTGCCACACCAAGAGAAATTCCAGCACACTGTGAATGTCCCAGAACTTGAACAAATCTAAGTACAGCCTGCTCAAAAAAAAAAAAAAATCTACTTTTATTAATTTAGAGAAATAAGTATTTTAAATCAATTAAGTATTTCCCAGTCACATGCTGCTGGTGCTCAATTATCTGATAATCATTAGTGACGTGCACTCCAATCCATCTTTTTTTTTTTCCATTCCATCTTAAATACACCTTACCTTTAACTTAGAAATCATATTTTTTTCAGAGTCATCAGAAACACTTTTATTTGTGAGAAGTCTCCTTGCCAAGTGTTGTTTATAGTAACGTTCAAATACATCTTTTTCTTGCATAAACCTAAAAAGGACCATTGCCTTATCCAATATTGTTTCTACTTCTTGTTCTGTTAGCTGCAAACCATTGAAAAGACAATTTAACAATTACACAATTTTAGTTCTACAAAAACAGCATCACAGTTTATCAATAGTTTAAAAACACTGTTTGATAACAAACATAAACATCTGGTTGAGATATGTCAGAAGGAGGGATCTAGTGCGAGAAAGTGCCTCCTACTTTATCTAGTAGCACGACTCTTAAATCCTCATCTAGTGCAGCATTAATCAGGGGCTGGAATGGAGTTCCACTCCCTAGTGGGCTACCTCTGAAAGGGAGGCATGAAGTGATACATGGCTGGATTAAAGGATGACTGAGAACAGAAGAAATGAAATTTTAATCACATAAAAGAATTTTACCATGCCCTTGCGTAGTATCTAGGCAGAAACTTACATGGCCAAAAGACAGATATTTTTATATAAGCTCATTCAAAATCTAAATTGTGCAACCAGAACGGTAATAATTTGTTACAATTCCAGAAGTAAAAAGGCCTCTTGCCCCCAATCTTTTAAATAAGGGCAAGATGATACTGTGGCAGGCCGTATTAAGCTTGTATTAAAAATATGGTACACTACTCAGCTGTGTATTTTCTGTTTGGTGCCCTTAGTAATCTTCCTCTTATTTGTGTCTTTGTTACAGCTACCTATTTGTTGCTTTGCCCTTCTGTCTCACACATCCCAAGATGAAGTCAAGAAGACCAATTCACGTGTGATCACAACCTGCTTATTTTGATTTTCTGTGCTGTAGTGAGCTTCCAAGATCCCAGATCTATTATAAAGGCTTCAAACTGAGCTTCCATATATGCTTTCAAACTATTTTCTGATACCTATTCTAGTCTGTGCCTTCAAATTTTTGGCACTCAAGTATTGTTTGATACGTGACCCCCAGAACCAGGTGACAGCAAGCAACATTCTATGTGCCACATGGATAGCTGTATTCTAGTTCCTTATTATCTCTATAGCATGTCTAACCCTCACAATCTCAAGTCTATGGATGTGTAGTTGTTTTTGATGCCAGTTACACATTCAATGAAATGTCAAAGTACTTTTGACCATTTCAAATACTTGAAACAATCCTTTCAAATATCTCAGTGCACATTTAAGCACAGCAAAGGAGGACTGTTTAATTTTATATCTACAAAATTCCCTAATTTTATATTTTATTTCCTAATTTTATATCTACAAATAAAACTTAATATATTTTCAAATGCATTAATACTTACCCCTTTGACTCCCTTTTTCAGCTTATCATCAATAAATAATGAGAGGTATTCAGGGGACCTGGAGTTGAGGTTGAGAAAATACTCAAAGTCACCCGCAATAGTTTGTTTAAAGAGCCGGTCGTTATTAAACGATTCCTGGAGGAAGCGATCAAACCTACTCTTCAGATCCAATAAGCCCTTCCAAATAAAAACAAAGAAACTTAGGATACATTATAATAACTTTTCTATAAACAATACATGTGTAACTACACACGTTTAACTTTGCTGGGAATAAATGTGTGCATTCAGTGTTAAACTTACAGATTTTATATTGCTATTTTCAAGCCTGTTTCTAAGCCTGTTAAAAATGTCAGTGGTGAGAGAAGTATTCTATCTTCCATTTATGTATTATTCTATTAAAGATGAACCAAAGATTCTCCTCACTTTTTCTCCCCACCTTCCTCTATCTTGACTGAATGGGTGAACCTGAGAGAAAATTAGCTTTAAAAATACACAGAGAAAGCTTATTTATATTAAAATATGAAAAACTTGAGAGCATAATATATTTGTTGTACTGCTTGAAAGCAAAATATCTTGAACCAAAAAGTCACTAAAACACAGTTATTTTTTCTTGAACACACTAAGGTAGTATATGAACTCTAAAGCATACAAAAAAGTAGAAAGAACTTTCATTCTTGAGACTATTTAAATAAAGACTTCTTCATCAGACAAGCTCATAAATGAAAAGAAGTGGGTGAGTTTGTATCCCTGATATAAATATACATGCTTTCCAAAATTCTAAAATATTTAGGATAATTACATATTAATTTACCACTGGAAAAATTAAGTCAGAAATACATACTACATAGCTTTGTAAAAGTGACCTTTTTAGCACTTGTCAAAATTACTTTATGATAAAGAGAATCTTCTGTATTTACTCACCTGGATATAGTCAACGGGATTCTTTCCTTCTCCTTCCTCAGAAACAAGGGCTTTACCTTGTTCCCTCAAGTAGGAACTCATACACTCACACATTGTTTTCAAACCATTTGGCACACGACTAAATAACTTGTACATGCAAGCAAGGTCTGCAATCAGAACAAACACACAAATTGGCTACATTAAAAATTAAGAAATTTGAATCCCTGTTCATGCTAATTTGCGATACTTAAAGAAGCTTATTTCTCCATTATGATCATTTGCTGACCACATGAAAAACTATTAAAAAAAAAAAAAACCCCAGGAAAACAGGGAAAAAAAGCTAGTTAATGGTTATTATTGCAATTTACAAAATACGTCTTACAGATGAGATACTTTAAAAGCATCAATAAAATGTCATAGCAAATTTTAGTTTACATGGAAGAGATGTCCAAACAGAATAGTCACAAAAAATGAAAACTGAAGTTTTGAGTTCCTACATAATTTAGCCTATATAATTCTAATCTAGAATCTAGTTAATACTGCAAAACAACTATCAAAAGGATAACTTTAACTGTGGTATACCTGGCAGTTCATGTAATAAAGAAGAAATTTAAAAACGAATTAAAGTCTTACAGATAATTCTTAAGTATATCTATCTCAAAAGTTCAAATGACAACCATGACAACAAATAAAATTAAATATACTAGGATTTATTTCATTACACATCATGGTAAAATTCATGTGAAATTTACAGCATAAATTCCTATTCTTTAATATTTTCCTCAGAGCAATCCTTAATATTTCCCAGGTGCTGACCTAAGCCAATATGTATATTTTAAAAATTGGTTTATCTCACTACATTGTTTTTATTTAGAAGGAAAACTCTGGACTCTATTTTTTACAAGATTAAAATGTGGAGTTAAAATACTGCTTTTCCATACGTCTAATGTATCTACGAAAGAAGAATTTACTGGGAGGCTATAGTGTCAAAACTTTACAATGATATAAAAAGGCTTTATGATTGAGAACTTTTAAATATGGAGTTAAGTACAGCAGTTTCTAGATCAGTGGCTGGAAAACTGTTTTCTGTAAAGCACCAGAGAGTAAATATTTTAAACTTGTAGACCATATGGTCTCTTTTACAACTACTCGATTTTGCCATTGTAGCCATAAAGAAGCTGCAGATAATACATAAATGAATGGGCATGACTGTGTTCCAATAAAACTTGATTTATGGACACTGAGATCTAAAACATATAATTTTCATGTGTAATGAAATATTACTCTTTTGATTTTTTTTTTTTTCCCAAGCAAACTGATAGTGGGCCAGATTTGGCAGACAGGCTATAATTTGCCCACCCTGGTCTACATTTATAAGAGCAACTCAGATCTTAAAACTGAAGTTGTATGTATTTTAAAGATACCTGGACACAAGTTTTACAAAAAGGGCTTCAAAATTTGTTTCAATGACTTTCAAAAGCAAATTTCATTAAAAAGTGCTTCCATCAATAATATATGTCCAAAATAATCTACACACAGCAAATCTGACAGTTTCTCACATTTGTTATAAATTACAACCCAGTTTCCCATGTTAAAAACAAATATTACAAACAATAATTTATGAACATATATACTACAGTAAACTTGGCATATCAAATACCTCATGACAAAATAGTTCCCAACTTTGTCTACTTTGTTCCTATGTTGTTACAGTTTTGCTTAGTCACATGTATATTTAACAGTATGTAAATTAATACAATTTCATTATATGTAATTCACTGTATATAAATAAATGTATGGCTTAGTGGAGAATGTGAAAGAGAAAATGAAAAATATGCATCATTCAAAAATTAAATATCATTTCTGTATACACTTCATAAAACAATAAAATGATACCATTCAGACTTAATTTCATAATGTTATCTGCATTTAATTATCAATCCAACTCATCCTCCATTCATGGTGGGAAAAAACTTTTTCACTTTCTGATTTATGAGATATTTGGCTTCATAATGGTGAAGCTGTGTCTCTGACATATTCTTGACATACTGCTCACGAGCAGGGCCTAGCATAATTAAAGATACTCTGCAATTAGGTTTCTAGTGGAAAGCCGGGAAAACTGAAGCCATGATTTTAAAATTTAATTTAGAATCACAGAAAGCTGCTTATTTGTGGAGAACATTAAGTACTAAATAGAAACTATGGTAAGTGGCTATTCTGATACTCCATTATTTATGCACTTATTAAGCACTTGCCATGTGTTAGGTATACTTAATGCCTTTAACACAAGTCTCCATGCAGGTTACAGTTACTATAATTCAGGTTTGCTTAACAACCTCCCCATCAAACATTTCCTAGCCTCTAATCTCCAAGCCCATTTCATCTCCCCTCCTCAATAATCCCCACCCAAGGTGACTAAAAAAGCATTAACTCAATAACTAAACAGTACATTAGAAAATTGAGGGCTTCCCTGGTGGCGCAGTGGTTAAGAATCCGCCTGCCAGTGCAGGGGACACCCTGGAGCCCTGGTTCGGGAAGATCCCACATGCCGTGGAGCAACTAAGGCCATGCGCCACAACTACTGAGCCCGCGCGCCTAGTGCCCGTGCTCCGCAACAAGAGAAGCCACCGCAATGAGAAGCCCGCGCACCACAACGAAGAGTAGCCCCCGCTCACCGCAACTAGAGAAAGCCTGCGCACAGCAACAAAGACCCAACGCAGACAAAAATAAATAAATAAATTTTTTTTAAAAAAAAGGATAGATTCTCATTTTAAGTAAAGGAAAATGCTTTTCATAAAGTCCTATCTGCCAGGGATCACTATGATCAGGGTCATCAAACTGTGGTCCATGGACCAACTACAGCCCATGGACCAACTACAGCCCGCTGCTTGTTTTTGTACACCTCACAAACTAAGAATGGGTTTTCACATTTTTAAATGTTTGAAAAATAAAAATCAAAGTTTTATAGGAACACAGTCAAGTTTAATTCGTTTGTGTTATTGCCTATGCCTACTTTCTCACTATTACAGCAGAGATGAGTAGCTTACTGTCTGGTCCAAGCATCTAAAATATTTATTATCTGGCCTTTTACAAAAAAAGCTTGCCAATCCCTGACAGACCATAGGCATCCAGGAGTAGCTTATTTTAGAAAACATGACAAACATCTTTAAAAATCATTTTTGTTTTGCTTTTATAAAAAAGGTTTACCAGAAGGGTCTTTTAAAAAGTAACTTTCTCTAGTTTAATAAAAACAATAAATTTACATACAACTTTTTAGGAATTTAGCACATATATAGAAATATAACCATTTGAAAACACAAGGCAAAGATTCCACTAGAGAAAGAATGGAACAACCTCTCTGCTTACCATCTTTGTTTTCCCTCCTCTTACATCCTCCTCTTTTAAATTATTAACTTAAAATTTTTTTTCCCATTCCCTACCTATGTCATGACCCAACAGGCAATATGCATTTATTTTATAAGAAATACATGGCTAAAATATTGCTAAGACTTCATCTAAGAGCACCAAATTTGTTTATTTTTAAGTACCATATCAGTGACTTATCCAGTCATAGTTTTAAAGAAAATCTTCAGAAATTGAGGAGGACAACATGACTATTCTTTACAATTTCTCCTAGGGTACTTGTTACAAAATAACATTTTAGGAAAATCAGGTAAATAGCCAAGAAGAGTAAATGTTACAGTTACATCCAAAATGTTTACTTTTAAGCAATTCTCCTTTCTCCTCTTTCATTCTATAACAAGATATCCAATCTACTAATTTATCTAAATATGTCAACATGGAAGACACATATTTTTGCATTTTTGGTACCCTTACCACAACTCCCAAAGAAATGCTTACAAAAATTTTAAGATTGGAACTTCAGGTTGTAAAAGAATCACAAAAACTACAGGAGAGTGTGTGGGAAAGAAGAGTCTAAACACCCTGGTATAGAAATATAAAGTACAGGAATGGGTGAGGATCATTGACCTTATAAATAATATTAATCATCTTCTTTTTTTTTAAGCTCTTTTATTTTCTCCTCTATTTTTTTTTCTCCCCTTTGGTGCACCGTGTGGCTTGTGGGATCTTAGTTCCCCAACCAGGGATCGAACCTGTGCCCCCTGCAGTAGAAGCATGGGGTCTTAACCACTGGACCGCCAGGGAAGTCCCTAAACTTACCTTTTGGGTTAAGAAAAACAAAAAGTGAGGAGACTTAAGATGAAAGAAGAAAAAAAGCCACTTGATTCACTAGGAATATCTAAAATCCTCATTAATATGTGTAAAGTAACAACAGTGATAAATTAATGACAAACACCACAACTTCTTGAAAATTGACATTTATAAACTACAATAGGAAAAAAAAATACTGAGAACCTGGTAGAACTATAAGAATTTAATTATTTTTCAACTGCTAACACTTACCTTCTGTCTTTCCGTTTTTCAACATATGTACTAGCCCCGAATTCTCCATTTCTACTATAGTTTTCATGTGCTTGGAAATGAGTTCCCTCTCAACCACCTTTACAATTGGCTCTTCAGTTGATTTGTCAAGGCAGTGCATCACTCGTTCTATTTCTTCATTAATTCTAGCTTCTACTTTCTTTATATATACTGAAGCACTGTTTTCTGCTAAAAATTTCTGGCTTTCCATCTGCAAAGAAGAAGCATGATTTTTTTTTTTTAAAACACAGAAGCAAAATGTGCTTCTGCTTTTAACTGGGTTTCTACAGTTTCTCATAAACCAAACTAAATATCCCAAGCACTATTAACATTTTATATACTGTCTTATTATATATATTCATATAGTCCGAATTATACCCTTTAAAGCATTACTTACATAAGACTTAATTAATACATTATCCTTAAGCAGCGTTTTTCAGACTTTGCCAGTGTATTCCAAATAGCAGAAAAAGTAAGCACACGCCAGTGAAGATCAAAAGTATAGAATGAAGCATCTGACCCCAAGTGAGAGTGGGAAATTCTTCTTTGATTTGTTTTATTGTAAAATTATGCCTAAAAAGATTCATCATGTTTATCATACAGTTTTGCTGGCATACTGGTAGTTACTAAAGTCCTCCTGCCACCCCACTCCCGCTCTCAAAGGAATATATATAAAGTTTGAGAAACAGAGCTTTTGAGTTACTATTAATCTTGTCTTCTAACACCAGCCTTAGAGAAATTCCAGTAAATTTTAAATGTTGGCTCAACTGACTTCAATCTCATAGTAAAATTAACAAATATACCTAAGAATTACATAAAAGATGTATTAATATAAATTATGTACAAAATTTAATAACATTTCCCATTCTCTTAATAAAAAGTAGTTTATACCAAATGTACAATGGATGGCTAGTGGGAAGCTGCCGCATAGCACAGGGAGCTCAGCTCGATGCTCTGTGACCACCTAGAGGGGTGGGATAGGGAGGGTGGGAGGGAGGCTTAAGAGGGAGGGGATATGGGGATATACGTATACATATAGCTGATTCACTTTGTTGTACAACAGAAACTAACACAACATTGTAAAGCAATTATACTCCAATAAAGATGTTTAAAAAAAAAGCAGTTTAAAATAATCAAGTTTCTAAGAATAAACATTAACACACCAAAACAAAAATCTTGGTGAGACCGTCACTTCACTGTCAAAACTGTATTTTATATATACACACAGATATATCCATATGCCACTGAAACACACTTTGGGATCCTGACAATTAATCATCTACTGGTATTTCTATACTGTAATGAAGGTAATCAAAACAAATGCAAACGTCAAAAACGTTGCCAGAAATATCTAGAAGTAGTTGCTGTGTTACCAGAAAATAAAGCCTGTTTCCTACATTATAAAATTAATAGTTCATGAAGTATGGTCCAGGCTCACCAGTACAGGCCACACAAAGCTTCCTGATGGCTACAGGCTGATTTCTGAAAAGCGGCCTGGGGGTTACATCAGTCCAAAGGACACCAAAACCCACCGAGTCTACTTCTATACTCATCCGATGGCTTCTACGAATGACGCACTGTAGAGCTATTGTAACATTCTATTCATTTAGTTCTTTAAAAGGTTATTACTAAAGTTGACCAGTAAAGTCTACTTTAGCAACACTACAAAGCTCCTACTATAAATTGCTCAGATAGTTGAGGCTTTCAGGAAGAATGCCTGATTATCATGACCTTATAAATATTGTCTTATCATTTGTCATAGTACTCAGTAATTGTTATTATCATTTCATTACAAAATAGTACCGGTTTAGCTTTACTTTCAGCAACGTAGTTGATTTGGGGTTGTACATACTGCTGCAAATTTTTATCAACTGTAATTACTGACTTTTAATTTCCTAATCAACAGCTCTTAAGACATATATATGCCTTATGGGATCATGCATATATCTATATTTATTTTACTAGTAACTTATATTACCAAAAAGCCTGAACAGTGAAACTTCATTGGTGATGTACTGCCTGTGAATCTATGGTAAATAATTAGTAACATATAAATATAATAAAATTTAAGGTTATTTCTAAGTTTATATGTTTTATACATATAATTTTTAAAAAATCACGTAAGTCCAACCTCTTCGACTTATTTTCAGACAGTTCCTTCACTGGAATGTGAGACTGTGGGGTAGGTGTGCTGAAGGGTGTAATTTGCACCCTCTTCCCCAAAGGGCCTCAGTACAAAAAGGTCAAAATGCTTAAATTACTAACTATATTCGGTAATTTTAAGAACATCTTAAAAGAGTATTTATTTACATCTCACTGATTACCTGAAAAAACTCTGCAGACATTTCCAAAAAAGGAGCCTCAAAATCTTCTTCATAGACTGATCGTCCTTCGAGACCTAAAATCATTAACATCTGGCAAGCATTTCTTATTGCGCCTCTGTCAAAAGAAGTTAAACCACTTGATAATAAAAACACATTAAAGATTCATGTAAAAGATGCAGCAGAAGTAGCTAGAAAGACTTTCAGAGCAAGTTTTTTTAACCAAAGTGACCAATCTCCCATAAGCAACTAATTTATAACGTAAGGATTTAGAGTAATTTTAATTGGAAAGCGTATCTTGACTGCACAGCTATTTATCTCAAGTTGTTCTCATGCTGTTGTAACTTAGAATTTTTGAAGAAAATATGTTTAAAATGACTAAATATTCCTGTGTATTTAAAAGCGCAAAAAGAATAAACAGCCTATCAGGAAGCAGGGAGGAGAGAGGGAGTCTACAGCACTTGACATGGGTACAACACACAGTTACTCCTAGGTAATATAATTTTTTTGCACCAAAGGGCTTTTGGGCAATCCTGACCAAGCACCAAAGCTGAAATAAAAAGAACTTTACAAGTCTTCCTCTAACAGCTGCTTTGAATACAAAGAAGCAAAGAAAGCAGGCTTGCATGTTTCAAGCCACTCTGGCTGCAGTGTCACAAAAATGGCACTGCAACAATGTTTGGGGGGGTGGAATATGACTTAACAAAAGGGGTACAAGAGTTCTTAGTCATTTTAGACTATGTTCAACATTTTTTTCTTCAAAGACCTTAAAAATAAATGCTAGCCAAAAGCCCTTTTAAAGAAGAAAAAAATATTATCAAATAGCAAAAAACAAAACAAAACAAAAAAACCAGCATAAAAAAAATACATAAAAAATCAAAAAGACTAATGGCTGATTTGCTTTTTAAAAGTATATTCAATAAAAGCTTAGGATAGTTTCTTCTAAAAATAAATGTGTGCTTTTTAGTTACAATCTAGCTAACTTTGTTAACTGTGATATAAGGTTTTTGAGTATTTTCATAATATGCTGGACAATCAAACTTTAATTTACTTTAATAAAATTAAGACAGTGAATCGGTTCTCAAGATATAACCACTAAAAACCAAAACCCAAAGAGTAAAAAGATTATTATACCGGTCTACAACTTCTCCTTTCCGCTCTCTGGCAATCATATCCAACAGCGTTTGTCGTAGGTGATCCCTAATACACCCGTAACGTACAACTTGATCTCGAAAAATAATTAATCCCAAATTGTAGACATTCTCCACATTATTTTGTTGTACGTACACACGGTCCTGCAGTTAAAACAAAATCATAATATAAACATTAGTACAACTCTTACGAACATAAAAATAATCCTCTTGAGTTACAATAATAAAGGAAATAAAATTCCAAAAGTGGTCAATTTTGCAGGTGAGAAACACTTCAAGCAACATGGAATTTTCTAGTACCTCCCAAGTTATATAAAAGTTATATATAGTAAGTCCTTACAATTTACAATTGCTACTGAAACAATGGCTATAGGCGGTTGCCCATTTACCCTAAGAAAAAGGGAGGAAAAAAGCAAGCACCCCACCCAGGGAGAGAGGCAAGTCAGCAGAAAGCAGAGGAGAAAGGTAGACAGCAAGGCAGGCAGAACTTCCTTTCTCCCAAAGCCATACCATGCACAAATATGGTTCTTATTTTCTTAAATACTGTAACTGAAGATCATATTCTTTAAGTAAAATTGAGAGCTGAATGAAATACAGATGCATGTGACTTAAGCTGATTGTTTACTGGTAAATGTTAAAAGGTTCTAATGCTTATAACAGAGCAGCATTCAGTATTACATAATTAAAACACCCGTAGCTACTGCCATTTCAGATTATTTACTGGTAGTCATCTAACTTTCAAGTTCTTACCAACATGATTACTGGTGTCTCACTTAATAGAGTACAGATAATCCAGAATTATTGGCCATAAAAGTCCTATTTTTTGAAATATTTTAAAATCCGTATTTACACCAAAATACAAAATAAAACTACTGTTCTTAATTCACAAAAGGATTAGTAACAGAATTCCTTTCTGTTCTTAACCAGGGTCTCTCCGGGCTTTGGCGGGTCTGTGAACTTCCCAAAATTTTAAAATTATTGTGTGTTTGTTCGTACGTAAGTATTTTGGAAAGAGTCCGTCCGTAGCTTTCACCAGATTCTTAAAGGCATTTGTAATCCAAAAACAGTAAGACTCACTGCAAACTGTGATCTCTGAACTTTTAAAGGAACACTGTCAATACAAGCAACACCAAATAGAATACAAGGTAAACATGAACAGAAGTTCTACCATAGTAGTATTAAATGGTCTTGATCACCTTTCTAGCCAATTTTTACTAAATTCTCCATGAGTAGCACTCTCTTCACAGACACTATCCTCCAACTTTCATTCATCTCACACAATGGTACATACCTAATGGCTACAAGGAAAGCTGCTCTTTTATTAGCATTGTTGGTGCTCACTTTCTACATTTTATATCACATTTTTCAAATCCTGACAGCAACTTCAGTTAAGTTCAAAATTTTCATTGATGACTTCTTCAATAAATTCTTGAATTTCATACTTCTTTCCTCAAGATCTTAAATTCTGAGTTTTGCCCTGACCGCATCCCTCCTCCTTTCTGATGGCCTCACTGTTTTCTATGTACTGAAGTTACTCTTTACTCTCATGACCTTCAGCTCCAACACTCCCCACCCTCCACTACCATACTGATTCTGGCTTACTTTTCAGCATAAAACAAAACACATTCAATAAAAACTGGCATAAATCTAATAATTTACAAAGCAATGAGAAAATAATCACTCCAATTACTGAGTAAATTATTTATAAATTTGATTTTTACAATTTTGATTATAAATTTCTATGGTACAGATTCTGTACCAAATACAGAATCACTCTTACCCAATGCAATCAAAACCAGTAACTAGCTAGCTGATGTGGTAAAAGAGGAAAAATATTAAACACACACACACACACACCACACCAGCACCTTAAACATTTTAATTTAAAACATATAAGCATTCACTGAGATAAAGACTTTTTCTTTGAACATGAGTCCTGTGATTAGAAGTCAATGCTGTCTTTTTCACATATACCCATACATCATAAATATCTAGTCTGTCTACTTTCAGTCTCATTAAGATGGCTAATGACCAGAGACAACTGTGAACCAATGTAAATGGCCTTCTAGATTTTTACAATTTCCACTCCAGTCTTTTAAATTACCAAATTACCCAATATTTAGTGATTTGCCTTTGTCAAGTCTTTCCAAAACATTCAATCTAGTTTGCCAAATAACAAATATTATTGTTTTTCGCATTTTTATTGACTTACACAATATAAAATGATGTAATAACAAGAAGTACAACTAGCATAAACAGGCCTGAAAACAAATACAACTGACTCTCAGTAAGCAAAGCTCAACTGACAAGAGCAAAACAGAGAAGATAAACTGAAAAGTAGTAGAACAGCACTGAGAGAACTTTGTATCCATCAGGCTGTTTCACAGCTAGAACAGAAAGTACTGTTAATTCGGGCAGGTACTGTTAAGTTTCAACTGTACGATAGGCCTCTGTGACATTCAGCACATCTTGTGGGGGATATATAACATCACATACATATGATATAAGCAAACTTAACATATGTCTACTAAGACACTAACCTCTTTCTTAGGAAACCAAATGTTCTTAATTTAAGCTAAGAGAAATGTCAAAGAACCAAGTCAGATTTTATTGTTTTTGGTGAAAGGCAAATACTTTTAAGAATTACAGAACAAAAGACACATGCTACGTAATCTTCAGAGTAAACTAAGAGTGTTAAAGTGAAAATTTTTTAACGTTTTCCCCTCTTGGCTTTATTGCAGTTATATGCCGTAAAATTCACTCATTTTAAGAGCATGGTTCAATAATTTACAGTAAATTTCTATACTGTGTAGTCATTGCCACAATCCAGTTCTAGAATATACTTCCATCACTCAAAAAAAGAAAGAAATAGGAAAAAAGAAAAAGATCCCCCCAGCCCTTCCACAGTCAATCTCCGCTTCCAGCACCTCTGCTTTCTCTCTCTATACATTTCCTTTCCTGGACATTTCGTATAAGTGGAATCATAGAACATGTAATCTTTTGTGTCTTATTTTTCATCAAGCGTAAAGTTGCTAAGGTTCATTAATATAACATATATTAGTATTTCATTCCTTTTTTTGGGCTGAAGTATTCCATTGTATTGGATATGCCACATTTAGCTTATCCATTTATCAGCTGATGGATATTTGGGGCTGCTTCCAGTCTACTATGAGTAATGTTGCTATGAACACTTGGATACAATCTTCTTGTTGGACGTATGCTTTCATTTCTCTTGGATGGATTTCTATGAGTAGAAGTACTATTGAGCTATATGAAAATTGCCAAATTGTTTGTTTTCTAAAGTGGACATGTCAGTTATAGAATTCTTCGTATTATCTCTGGCTCTACCATTAACTGGTGGTGTGACCCTGAGTAAGCCATTTACCCACTCCGGTCCTGGGTAACATAAAGGGCTGGTAAAGACAGTCTCTAAAACTCTGATTTCCTTTGAAGCTTAACTCTCTGATCAAAAATTAACGTATACTAGGGATCAAGACACATTTCAATATTACTCCTTCCCTTTCTGTTATCAGTCTCCCCTGGCCTGGGTACTCTCTTCTCAATCCTAAACACAGTGATGCCATCGCTACCAAAGCAGGTGAGTCTATAACCGTACTGGCCTATAGTATCTGCTATCTTAAGCCCTGTGGCGAAAAGACAGAAAGAGAGCCAGGTGCAGCTGATGCGTTCTTCAGGCGTAATGCGTACAGGAGAGAACAATGTTTCAGAGTAAAAGAAGCCAGGTATGATGGGAACACATGGTTGGAGTATTTGAGCAACGCACAGAAAATTTACATCCATGGAGGATGACTGGGGATAAGGGAAGTACAGATGTTGTAGGATAAAAGCCAAACCCTTGTCTTTTAATGTGAGACTGTCAAGGTGTATAATGATTATAATTAAATGACATAATATTAAGAAAAGCTGTTAACCCTGAAATATGATTATAGATACCAGAGAGCTAATAAATAGAGAAGGGAAAACCTGCAAACATGAGTACAGCTACTTAAATGAGTAATACCAAATAATCATTTATATTGTCTGGTACATATGATTAATTACCATCAAGTAAAATAAAAGCTATACATACATACACCTGAGTGCTTACGTGTGCGTACATTAAACTAATGCAGGCACACATCCACAATAAACTTGTGATCTGCACATGACTGTTAAAATATTTGCTGAATGAACACGCTAAATCTTCTGTTTACTGTTTATCAGCACTATCAGAAGGAATTCAGCCTGTGGGTAGACAACAGCCTTTCATAATAGATTCTAACAGGAATCTCTCTTTGTTAAAAAATAAGTGGTTAATTTTATGTAATACAATATCAATTTAGCTCTAATCATTTAAATCACTGGAGGACTTTTTATTTTGTATACCTTTCTATGTGAATATTTAATGTGACCAAAAGGTAGTTTGTATGAGTCCAACATTAGTCATTTATCTATTGAAGAGAGCTCAGCAGGCATAGAAAGCTGGTGGTTGCTTCTATTTGCCTTTTGAAAGCCAAAATACAGGCATTTTAAGTATAAAATGTTCTGAAAAATCCATTTGAAAGCCTCACGTCTGGATCAAACATTAGATTTACTAAAGGGATGTGAGTTTCATAACTACAGAGATAAAATTACATTTAAAATCTGTTTATGGTTCCCTCTTGGGAGATGCTTTTCCTAGACCAAGCAAATCTTTTCCCCTTAACTGATGGCTTCACCAAGACACCTAATCCACCAAGATACCTAAATATTTAACTAATATATGAGAGATCTAACTCAGCATGCAAAAGTATTCTTAGATGTGTCAAGACACACTATGCGAAAATATAGATTTTATGAAAGCTAAACCTGTGCAAAGTCAAGGAGTGACTGTGTAAGTGGGCTAAAAAGCTTCATGACTCAGGGAGTGGTATTTAAATAAAAATAAAACAACAAAAATTTGATAATGAACCTCAAAAAATAACTCTTACTACTTTATCCACAAGAAATGGTACGGGAAATATTTTTAACCAACAGTCATTGTATCACGAAAAAGCAAACTAGGATAAATGTGTACTGGGCATAGGAATCAATGATGCACCCAAGGAAAGGACAAAATTATAAGCTCTTTCAATATCACTCATATCTAATGTCTCATTTGAACA